CTCCCTCCTGAGATGGTTCGTCGAATTGGATGACGCCATAAGGGCGCGTCGCATCGACGATGGGGAAATGCAAGTTGCATTTGCCCAGTCAAATCTGGCAGGACGTGCCAAGACTTGGGCACTGGGGCTCAAGTTGCACGACCCATATGCGTTTGGGTCGTTGGAAGTCTTCAAGTCGCGGCTCAGACAAACGTTTGAACCGCCTAGAGCTGAGTTCAGGGCTCGAACCGAACTCTTGAAGCTCAAGCAGGGTAAGCGTGATGTGCACGCTTACGCTCAACATATACGACATCTCACGAGTTGTATAAGTTCCAATCCGGTGGATGAACACACGTTGGTTTCGGTGTTCATGCAGGGTCTTGCGGATGGTCCCGTCAAGACTCACCTGTTCCGGCTTGAACTAGATTCACTAGAACAAGCCATTTCCATTGCGGAGCAGGAAGACTTCAGTCTGAGACAGGCTCGCGCCAGCTCGACATCATATCGTCAACCGAGGCGATATGACAACGGAGGTCCAGAGCCGATGGAACTCTGTTATGTAGAGAGCGAGAAGGCTCGCTCTACAGGCTACAAGAAGTTGCAGAGATGCAACAGATGTCAAAAGACAGGACACTACGCTTACGAGTGTAGTGCCCCTCGTCCAGTGTCTCGCGACACTGGGCGTAGTGACCGTCCACCCATGAGAAAGGGGCAGGGACGAGGGTCCGCAGTTGGTGCAAAGACGCAACAACGGGATGGACCGTCAAAAAACGGACAGGATCAGTAGGTGCGGAGCACCCTACTGGTCTAGCAACGTCAAGAGAATTTGTAGGCCTCTTGATGAAGGTTGCTCCCAACACACAAACGTTGTGCGTTGCTGCTCTAGGTAATGAGGTCTCACTCATTACCTTGAAACTCGAAGTGACGAATAAGTTGTCCCTTCGAGCTCTAGTCGATTGTGGGGCGTCCAACAATTTTGTGCGACGCCAATCGCTAGAAGATGGTCACTTTAAATTCAGTGAATGTGACACACCTCCTACGAGGATGACGGTACGTCTTGCGACAGGCGCATCCGTAACCGTCATGAAGCGTATAGTGAAGATCCACTATACGCTAGAAGATACCCAATATGACGATGACTTTATCGTATTGGATTTGGATGACAAATTTGATGTCATCCTTGGAATACCGTGGCTCAGAAGGTACGAACCACGAGTAAACTGGCAACATCGGACAGTAACGATGCCTGCCGCTTGTTCATCAGATGGCCATCTGATGAACGTTTTGGAGCGTCCACAAGCGTGTGGATGTACTACGAGTGAGTGCGATGGCCTCACTTGTGGTACGGTCGTTAGTACGACTGCACAAAACCTTAGTGTACCAAACGGTTACACTTCGGAGCAAAGTTCCAGCGGCTGTGAGGAAACACAATGGCTGCGCCGAAGGTCCACTACTCGAATAAGTCGGGTGGACTGGGACAAAGATGTATCCCTAGCGGGGAACATCTAGAAGAGAAACAATCGATCGCTCAGGTTAAGCGAAACGATAATCCTAGATCGACTGGAGAGTCTTTCGTAGAGGATCTCGCTGTGGTTGCGCAACCCCAGCTAGAGGAAGTAAAGGGAATAAGTCCCAAGATTACAAATACGGCGGAAATAAGTTCCCCGAAACCCGCGGGAATAAGTACCCGGGAAGACGAAGGAATAAGTCCTTCGAAGCCTGAGGGAATAAGTCCCCAGGAAATGACAGAGACATTGAATGTCATAGTCAATAACGGATCAAGTGTAGGCGCCTATACACTTGATCTGATTGCGCCTCCGAAGTTAACTTCGGAGATCACTCAGTTGCCAACGCTCGAACATAAAAGGTTCTTGCGTGATCTGCGTAGTGGCAAGGTCAAGCAGATCTGCATACTCGTCGCTGACGACGAGTGTGTAACCGACATAAGGTCAGCAACAGTGCTCACTGAGAACGAGAGAGTTCTCAGTATTTCATCTATGGACGAGAGTGTCCTAGATGAAAAGACACGAATTGAGCGATATGACTCCCAATCATGGGAATCGCTCAAAAAAATCCTCTCTATGAAGATTTGGTTGAATTCAAGGATGTATTCCCTGAAACTGTTCCGTGCGAATTACCGAAGGATAAAGGTATTCGACACGAGGTCGAGCTTAAACCAGGCTCGAAGTACTGTGTCATGAAGCAGTGGCCACTGCCTCGTGAACAAGTACTTGCGATCGACAAGTTCTTTGCCGATCGTTTAGCTGCGGGCCATGTGAGGGAATCAACTTCCCCACATAGCTCTCCGACCTTCTGTGTGCGAAAAGCAACAGGAGGGTGGCGGATAGTGCACGCGTTCAACAAATTGAACGCTGCAACGGTACCGGCTCAGACGCCGATACCGAGGAAGGACGTAATCATTGATGGTATGTCAAAGAGTACCATCTTTTCGTCCATGGATTTGATGGATGGCTTCTATCAAATCCTTATGCGGGAACGGGATATACCCTATACCGCAGTTAGCACGCCTAGCGGCATGCTCTGGGAATGGCTAGTAATGCCACAAGGGCTCAGTAATGCCCCTGCCACGTTCAACAGGTGTGTATCACATCTGTTGAGGCCAGTACGAGAATTCGCGCCGAGTTATTTCGATGACGTATTCATCCATAGTCGAGCTATGGATGGAAAGTCGGACGTTGAGGTTCACAGGTACCACGTCCGACAAGTTCTTACAATCATGCGAAAGCATCAATTGTATGCAAACCTCAAGAAGTGTATATTTGCAGCAAGCGAAATACCACTTCTTGGGTGCATCGTTGGTAAGAACGGTGTACGTCCTGATCCCGAAAAGATCAAGGCGATCACCGACTGGCCTGTGCCGGTCGATGTCAAAGGTCTTCGAAAATTCCTTGGGCTAGCGGCGTATTTGCATAAGTATTCACGCAATTACGCCGAGATGACTGTGCACCTCTCTCGTTTGTTGAAAAAGAACGAGAGGTGGTTATGGAACGCTGAATGTCAACGCTCCTTTGAGGGTATCAAGCAGAGCTTGATACAATCCCCAGTCCTAGCAATAGCCGATCAGGACAGGCCATTTCATGTGGTCTGTGATGCCAGCGATTTCGCAATCGGCTGTGCATTAATGCAGTACGATCTTGAAGGCGTTGAACGCGTCGTCTGCTATCGGTCGCGTCAGCTGCAACCAGCTGAGCAGAACTATCCAGTGCATGACAAGGAACTCCTTGCCATGAAGTATGCACTCGCGAAGTTCAGAGTCTATCTATTAGGAGATAGACCCTTCGTTGTTTACACTGACCATGCGTCATTACGCACGGCAGTGAACAGCCCGCACCTTTCACAACGAATGGCGCGGTGGTTGTCATTCTTTGCGGAATACAACTTTACGGTCGAGTACAAACCAGGACGACTTAATGTCGTCGCTTATGCACTCTCACGTCGTCCCGACTTTGGTACAGTCGCGAAACCCAACAGTGGGGCAGTCACCGTTGCGGTTATGACGTCCTCAGTCCCATCTACAACGTTGTATGATGATGTGAGGCGGGCATACGCCCAAGATGGTGAGATAGTGAAGTTGTTGTCACATCTCTCCCAACCATCTTGAGAATCGTTGAAACGATTGTCGCCTGCGTATCGATCTGCATCAGATCGATACACTACTCGTAACGGTTTACTGTACTATACAGCCGTTTCTGGTGACACACCACGTGTTGTCATTCCAGATGATACTGATCTGCGTTTGCGGATCATGTTCGAGTATCACGATGCTCCTACAGGAGGACATCGTGGCCGAGAGAAAACATATCTCACGGTAAGTCGAGACTTTTACTGGCCCCGCCAGTATCAGTTTGTGCGCAAGTACATTCGCGCATGCGAAGTCTGTCAACGAGTGAAGTCAAGTCCTTCACTGCGTGCACCTTTACAGCCTCTACCGGTTCCGGCTGAGTGCTGGGAATCCATCTCAATGGATTTCGTCTTCGGGTTACCCAAAGACGCACGCGGGAATACGGGTATTCTCGTATTTGTTGACAGATTCAGCAAAATGGTACACCTTGTAGCTGTACCAGAGACAATCACGGCAAGTGGCTGTGCTTGTGTCTTTATTGACACCATCTTCCGACTTCATGGGTTGCCCCGTGAACTCGTATCAGACAGAGATCCACGCTTCACTGCTGATTTCTGGCGTTCCGTGTTCAAATCACTCGGAACGCGCTTGATGATGTCGACATCTGATCATCCAGCGTCAGATGGTCAGACGGAACGCGCCAATCGTGTCCTCGAAGAGATACTTCGAGGATACGTAAACTCCGTTAAGAGTTGGAGTGAGTTCTTGCCCATGGTAGAGTTTGCCATTAACAACTCGTTGCATGCGTCCACGATCCATGCACCGTTTTACGTGAATGGCTTGCGCCATCCGCGTGTACCCACCTTACTAGAGTGTAACTCTGGTTTAAGGGGGGGAGGGACTCGCGCGAGCAAAAACCGATTTGGTTCACGCTCATCACGCTCTGACGAAGAGGTCATTGCGTTTGATGCCGATATCGATAACATCGATATCGAAGAAGATGATGCCAGTGAGAGTGCGGAAGCCCTCACTGAAGAAGATGATCCCAGTGAGAGTGCGGAAGCCCTCACTGAAGAAAAGGTTGATGTTGCTGCAGTGCGCTCACAGCACACTGAAGCTAACGAGTCATCAGATGAGTTCATACTGGCTCGTGAAACGGTAGTCCGTTTTGTGCAAGACTCCATCGCCGAAGCGGTGGATAAGCAAAAGCAAAACGCTGACAAGAATGGAAGGGCAAACACTCTTTTATTTAATAAAGGTGACTTAGTCCTACTGTCTACAACTAACCTACCAAAGCATGTAGTGACTAGCTTAGGTAGTAGTAAACTTCTACCCAAGTACATCGGCCCATTTCGTGTATTGCACCGCCTAGGCAATGCATACACGATCGAGTTACCACGTAAGATGCGAACGCATCCCACGTTTTACGTTGGTCGGCTTAAGCCGTACCATCAGTACGCTGCTTCTTCCGATGAAGAACGCCCTTGCGCTCAAGCATCTCGCAGAGAGCCTTGTGCTCCCGATGGTGGGCATCAACAAGGGTCTGAAGAGCAGTTATCTCAGCCCGAGACCGGTCAACAATCCCACGAGCTACCCTTAGCTCGTCACGAAGAGATGTCAGAGATCTCTCGTTCTCAAGCTGAGCAAAGGCAAACTCAGCTCGATGCTTCGAGGCAGTGTCCGCCATTTGGAGACGCCTATTCCGCTCATGTTCGAGATCGTCGCGTAACCCTTGCGTTACGCGATCAAAGAAGCTCTCGGGAACACACCGATCCACATGATCGTGTGGAGAGCGTCTTTCCTCCTCCTCCACCTCCATTAGAGGACTCTCGCGGTGGCCAGCGCTATCTAGTTGAGCAGCTGTTGAACCACCGCGACGTGAACGGACGTCGGACGAGTTATCTCGTCCGGTGGCGCGGCTATCCCCCGTCCTGGGATTCTTGGGAGCCCCGCTCCCAACTGATGATCGACGTACTGGGTCTGGTTGAGCAGTACGACGCGGCACATCCTGTGCCGCAGAAGGACCGCCGGAGAAAGTCTTCCCGGCACGGTCGTAAAGGGATTTCAGGTTGTCAATCCCTTCGTACATCTCAGTAGAGATACGTACGCGCCACCACGGACTAGTAAGGAGGTAAGCCTCCTTAGGTGCTCGTGCAGAGTTGTTCACACAACATGGGCACGAGTCTCCCCAAGAGAGGCAGGGTAATCCTTTCTCCCTTGACAGACGATGCAGCTTGTAGCGTGCACCTGTCGGGGTTCGCTTTTCAAACTTATCACGAGCTTTGATAAGTTTGTCGTTCCAAGCGTCACGACCTACATCCTCGAGGTTATGGATGTAGGCGTTCCACGCCTGAGTAGTGAGGGACCATCACGTTTGTGATTCCCACTGTACCATCGATGTTTGAAGAAAGCATCGATGAAGAATTCGTGTTCAGCGCGATAGTTTTTCGCGCTGGGGTCAAGGTGATGGATCCTTGACGAATCGAACAAACGTGTTCGATAACGATCACTCATCGTCGCCGACAAGTGATCCATGACAGATTTAGGAGGCATCCATGCCTTCTTTTCTGGAGCGAGACGCAAGACATTGCGGTCCCGCTCTTCCTGCGACGTGCCGACAGAAGCACTGGCACCTCGCTGTGAAGTGGTGTCCATAGGAGAACCGACACCACTATTAGCGCCCGAGTCTCGCGACCTCGAGCGCCTTCGCTTCGGCGATGGTTCATCTGATTCATCAGATGAACCAAAGATGCTGCGACGCAAAGCATCGTCCATGCCACGCTTGGCAGGCGGCTTAGATTCAATCGCCGTCGATACGGATCCGTCATCCGTATCAGGAGAGTACGAGACACCGAGCTCGTACTCTGTGAAGACACGAGTGTCTTCATGACCAGCGCCTGCATCACCAAGTGACACAGGCTGGGTCGCTTCAGCAACCGATGGGACATCAGTTGCTGTTGTTTCTGCTTCGGCGTCCGCACAGAGACGTGCAGACGCGCTCTCGGCGGCCTTGCTCGCGCATCGCATGGGCTTGTTTACCATGCGACGAACTGTTGGAAAGTGGACGCGGACCAACAAGTGCAAACCCCGTCCCAAATGATTTGGGACGAGTATCCATTTAGTCAATCAGTCACTAAAGTGACTGATGGTTAAGGGGGGGTGATGTAACGGGGTGAATCGTTACATAACAATTTATAAGAAATTGTTAATAGAATATAACTATAAGAGTTATATTCTCAGAATATTGTCATAAGGACAAATATTCTGTAGCACTTACAAGTAGTTCCTAATTGGTTGATATAGGCCATTATACCAACCAACGAAGACGCGCCACGACAGACGCACGCAATGAGTGGTGAGCAGATAACTGATTTACACATTTGTATTTAGACATAGTTAGATGAAGATAAATAGTGATTTATTGCAGACATTAATTATTATAAATACAGTTCTACTTTTTACTCTAACCAAGTACTCGCTTCTTCTTACCGTCTTCCTCTGCACGTACGAGTGTACGTGAAGTTACGAGGCACCGCCTTATTCTGTCATCAGAATAAGTAGCTTGTACTGTCACCAGTACAAGCTTCAGGGTGCCCCGTTACATTGACTATATTAAATACAGTTCTCTTTTTGCCTTTACTTGACCTAGTCGTTCAAGTAGATTAGCTTCCTCTGCACGTACTAGTGTACGTGAAGTTTCGCGGCACCCCAAACAAAGGGTTCCCCGCTTCACTAACGGTCTAGGTAGCAAGAGGGTTGGAGGCTTGAGGCTAAGGTTCAACACGACCCGGATTGGGTGAAAAGAACGAAGGCGTGCAGGCGAACAAAGAGCGGATGATTAAGCGTGGGCTTGAATATTTCCATTTGTACGGTAGCTGGCAAATTGAGGATTCATTTCATATAGGGACATGCTCTGTAGCGTTATTTAATTTGCCGATAATCAATCATATAGTCGTCATGAGATCAAGCTACTTTTTTTTTCATACTCTAAATGAAAGACTTTTTATGAAACTTGCTGTAAAAAGCGGGCACAAAAGTCGTCTCATGTGAAGAGGGGCAAGTATGTATAGGTTAAACTGCACCTTCAATCACGGTTTATCTCGAGGATGAAACTATCAGTGACTTTGCGCAAGGTACGTGAATTTACAGAACGTCATTCAGTTCTATGGACTAAATTATGTCAAGGGGCGAGCTCCAGAGCTTGCTCCTCTATCTTTCAACACGTAGAATTTCTTCATAAACTAGTCGGTTAACCGACCCGAAATACAATGCACTGCGTTTTATCGTCCTTTTGGTTCTACACGGCAACGAGTGCGTGCCATTGAAGGTAAGAGAATTACTTTACTGCAGACAGGCATGTGTTCCCCGTGTATTCTCTGTGGTGACATGTGTTTGGAGTGTCCAAGCCTACTTATGAAGCGTCGTTTGTTGGAGACTTCGGGAGCTACTCATTTCGTATAGTTTTGCTGGGACAAGGGTTGGTTTTGGACTATGAGGCCAAGTGACCTCCTGATTTGTGCAACAAACCAAGAAGCTGCAACACGCAGCAGAAATAGTAAATAGGAATGGACAAATGCTGTGCAAACAGGCCGACGTCGCTGATTATTTGGTAGTGGAGGGAGAAGTATAATGTCACTACAGACGCAGCAAACCTATCGCCCCATCCATTACGCTGCGTCGGACTGAGAGCAGGAAACAACAGATCTGTGCACAAAGAATCTTATGCTTGCCCGTACCAACTGAGGTGCACCAAACTTCATTAAAACTGTTTGTTAGTCGATCAACGCATAACAACGTGCACTGCAGCCTTCGGCGCCAATTCGCATCATTGCACCTTGCACCTTGCGAGTACAACGAACACAGCTTACAGCCACTTCTGGCGCAGCTTGATCACGAACGGCTCGGCCTGAGGGATCGGCTTGGGCTTATGCTCGGCAATCGCGTCGATCTTTTCGCGAATCTCGGGCGTGATCTTGTCAATAAACTCCATCGCCTTCAAGTTTTCGTCCAGCTGCTTGATGCTCGTTGCACCGAGAATCACCGTAGACACGTGCGGGTTGGCCGCAACCCAAGCAATCGACAGCTGCGCTAGCGAACAGCCGACTTCCTTGGCCACCTCGGCAAGCTTGTCAGCCTTGGCAATCTTCTCCTCCAAGCCATTCGACAACATGGCCTTGTGCGACGGCACAGACAGCCGTGACCCTTCTGGAATACCCTTGCTGTACTTCCCCGTTAGGATACCGGACGCCAGAGGCGACCACGTCGTGAGACCGTAATTGTACTTCTTGTACAACACATCAAAGTCGTACTCGACACGCGAGCGCTCCAGAATGTGGTACTGCGGCTGGTCAAATATCGGACGAATCAGACCGAGGCGATCGGCAATTTCGCACGCCTCGATGATGTCCTTGGCACACCACTCACTCGTGCCCCAATAGAACGCCCAGCCTTGCTCAATGAGGAAGTTCATGGCCCGCACCGTCTCCTCAATTGGCGTAGCAGGGTCTGGACGGTGGCAAAACACCAGGTCCACGTATTCCAGGTCAAATCGCTTGAGCGACGCCTTCATGCCCTCGACCAGGTGCTTGCGGCTGTTGCCCACGTCATTCGGGCCCGACTTGGTGCCGAAAAAGAGCTTTGTACTGAGCACCAGGTCCTCGCGTGACCACAGCTTGGAGTCAATGCCGGTCTTGACGATCTTGCCCATGATGATCTCCGATTGGCCGTTCGCGTAGACTTCAGCATTGTCAAAAAAGTTGACGCCCTGCTTGTACGCATGCTCCATAATGCTGTATGCCTTGTCAAAGTCCAGCTGCGTGTCGAAAGTCACCCAGCTGCCGAACGACAGACGTGACACGAGGAGACCAGAGTTGCCCAGATAGCGGTACTTCATATTGTGACTGGGGGCAGCGGCGGTCATTGTTTAAATGAACAGCTGACGGTTGGCTTGAGGCTTGGGAGGCAAATTCGTTTGTGAGCAGATACACGGACGTTTGCAGGATCGCAACCGAAATTGATCTCTCTTGATCGTTAAATAATGGTGGACAGCCAATGGGAGACGACGAAGAATACTCCGCTGATACATTGAAGGTGACGCACCTGACAAGTAGTCGGCCGCATCGTCAGAGCTAGATCCCATTATTTCTAATCCGTCGACTACGAATCGTAAAGAGCTATTAGCTACGCAATCAACTGATTTGTTCACGACGAATTCGATTCGCGTTCAAATTCATTTGGATAAACAGAGCAAAATGTCACTCACATCTCATGTCGCCTGCCTTTGCTGTACTGTGTGACCTATTCCTGGACTCTTCTTGGCTACAAGTTGCACGTACGATAAACACAAGAATCTGAACGTTGATGGATGTTAATCGGATTTAGATTCAAAAATGCGTAATAGGCATCACGGTTCGAAGAATATTTGTAGACCTTTCTCGGAAGGGGCTAGCGTTGAGGAAGTGGAATACTATACACAACGGTTTCATCCTGTTGATATCGATGGACGCGGTTCTTCCACGTCCAGTCTGGCGAGCCAAACTATATTGCTCCGCTAAGCATCTCCAGAAATCGCCCACGTCAGCAACGTTGGGCTTGATAACCACAACTATCGTTCCATGTCCATGGTGAGCTGGGCTGATGTACGCCCCCGCTCTGATGTGTGTACAGGGATGGCAAGAGATCTGTCGCTCTACTTAAGCGAAGTCGCTGTCATAGTGACCGGTCAAGTGACCTTTCGTGACCTCGAGCGACGTTTACTGATCAAAAGTTACCAAGACTAATTATATGCAACCTTTTACGAATGATGGTGCCCACTTTAACGGGCTGGTCCAAAGATCCTCCTTCGATGAGACATGTTTCTCTCTTAAATCCTCCGGTACACGAAAGATTAAACGTGCTTATGAGTCGTACGCTGTGACACCGCTCACCGTCCAGACACAAATGCATTGGGTCTGCGTGAGGTTATTGTCATGCGTCACGATGCATCCATAATGGTCAAGTTTGGCTTTGTGGTCGAACGAGCGCTCGGCGACCAGATTGTTCTTGTGCTGATTCTTAGTGTTACGGGGTAACCCGTTACTTGAAATTGACACCAAACGGTATCAACAGGGAGATTGTCTGGCATGACAATATCCTACCGATATTATCCGAGATGGATAATTTTGAAGGAGTGTTATCCTCTTTTAAAAATATTCATGCGCTGCTCCAAGGTTGGTTGATAAAGACATAGCAACTATAGATTGCCACCAATCGCTGCTAGACGCGCGCAATGAATTGTGAGCAGGTTGTCGTCATACAACGACGTAGTTTAGTATAGTCAGATAAGATTAAATTTATATTGATAGCTTAACTATGTTAAATATAGTTCTTTTTTTACCTGTACTGAAACTAGCTGTTTGAGTAGATTAGCTTCCTCTGCACGTACTAGTGTACGTGGAGTTTCGTGGCACCCCAAACAAAGGGTGCGTCGTTGCACCTGGTAGCACTTTGTAGTCCGTCCAACGACTACTTAGTGTCCGTCCACCATGAACATGTTGGACGTAGAAGACGACAGCTTTCACGTCACACGTGAAGGCTACTCCCAACTGAGTGACTCAGAATGGGAGGTAGTCGGCCGCATGAGTGTGCTCATGGGCGAACCCGCCATCAGTGGTATGTTGAAGTCTCCAAGCAGAGACCAGCAACATGCTGCTATCAACAAGTTCCTACAAGGGGAACTTGCCGTCGAACGACAGAAGATAGCTTTGCTACAGCAGCAAGGATCTCATCAGTCGATGGGCGGGCGCGGGTCGACGCATGTGCGTCGGCCCGGGTGAAGACGTACATGTTCGAAACTTGAAGATTGATATCCCAAGGTTCAAGGGAACCGATGAAGATTCCCTTTTGAGATGGTTCGTCGAGTTAGACGATGCCATCAGGGCCCGTCACATCGAGGGTGACGAGATGCAAGTCACTTTAGCCCTGTCAAATTTGATGGGACGAGCAAAGACTTGTGCCTTAGGGCTCAAGCTTCACGACCCAAACGTGTTTAAGTCCTTAAAGATCTTGAAGTCTCGGTTCAAAGAGACGTTTGAGCCGCCGAGAGCCGAGTCCAGAGCACGCTCTGCACTCCTGAGGCTCAAGCAAGGTAAGCGTGACGTGCACGCTTACGCACAGCACCTGCGCTACCTTACGAGCAGCGTCACGGAAAACCCTGTTGATGAGCACACGCTCATTAACGTGTTCATCTACGGCCTTGTGGACGGCCGGTGAAGACCTACATGTTCCGAGAGGACTTCCATACGCTAGAAAGGGCGATAGCGTATGCGGAACAAGAAGACTTCAGCCTGAGACAGTCTCAGGCTAGCTCTTCAAACTATCGTCCGACGAGACGACAGAAAACTGGAGGTCCCGAACCAATGGACCTCTGTTACATCGAGAGCGAGAACTCTCGACTTCTGAGTCACAAGGAACGGCAAGATGCCATCACTGTCAGAAGATTGGACACTACGCTCATGAGTGTAGTGTCCCGAGCACCGCATCACGTCCAAAGACAGGACGTAATGACCGCCGTGTTGGCCGAGAAATTTCCAAGGCGTGGGTCCGACCATGTCGCTAAGCCGCGACAGCAAGTCGGATTTCCAAAAAACGGACAGGTTTAGTAGGGCGGAGCACCCTGCTGATCCAGCAACGTCAAGAGAATTTGCAGGCCTCTTGACGAAGATTTTTACCAACACACAGTCGCTGTGTGTTACTACCCCTAGTGATGAGGTGTCCCTCGTCACTTTGAAGATCGAAGTGACAAGTGGAATGTCACTTCGCGCCCTAGTTGACTGTGGGGCGTCGAACAGTTTTATTTGACGCCAGTCGCTGGAGGATAGTAGGCTCAACTATGTTGAGCGAGAGTTCCCTCCAACGAGGATGACGGTGTGCCTTGCTACAGGCGCATCCGTAACAGTGAGCAAACATGTAGTGGAAATCCACTACACGCTGGAAGGAAAGACGTACGATCATGACTTCATCGTACTGGATTTGGATGGCAAATTTGATGTCATCCTTGGTCTGCCATGGCTTAGAAAATACCAGCCATGGGTTAGCTGGCAGCATCGATCCTTGAAGATGCCTGCCGTTTGTTCATCAGATGGCCATCTGATGAAAGTCTTGGAGCACCTACAAGTGTGTGGATGTACTACGAGTCAGTGCGATGTCCTCACTTGTAGTACGGTTGCTAGTACGACTGATCAAGATTACAGTGTAGAAGGACACTACACTGTGGAACCAGCTTCCGCGCACCTGTGTAGAGACACAAGCTGCGCCGAACGTTCACCACTCGAAGAGAGCGAGTGGACTGGAACACGGATGCACACCAAGCAGGATGCATTCAAGAATAGATATGAGTCGTGTTCAAAATGCACACACGTTAAAGCGAGATCAACTAAGAGAGAGTCGATCGCAAAGCAAACACGATCGATTACAATAGAGTCGATCGAAGAGAACGTGACTGTAGTAGTGCACCCACGGTCAGAACACGTATTGGAAGAAAGCTCTGTAGTTCATAAGAGTGATAACTCCCAAGAGAGTTATGTTGAGGGTGTGTTTTTCCAACCAATTTCGGTTGTTTTTCCCAGGAAAGTACCGAGACAGTGAATGTCTTGGTCAATGACGGATCAATAGTAGGTGCTTATACACTTGATCTGGTCACACCTCCGAAGTCATCTTCGGAAGTAATCAAGTTGCCAACGCTAGAATCAAAAAGATTCTTGCGAAATCTGCGTAGTGACAAGATCAAGCAGATCTGCGTACTCGTCACCGAGAATGAGTACGCCGCCGATATTCGGTCGGCACAAGTGTTTGCTGAGAACGAACGGGTTCTCGGTAGCTCATATATGGACGAGAATTTCCTCGATGAGAAGACCCGAATTGAGCGATACACGTCTTAATCTTGGGAGTCTTTGCAGACAAATCCTTTGCATAAGAATTTGGTCGAATTCAGAATTTACCCCTGAATCCGTGTCATGCGAGCTGCCTAAGGACAAAGGCACTCGGCATGAGATCGAACTGAAATCTGGTTCGAAATACTGTGTCATGAAGCAGTGGCCACTGCCTCTTGGACAGGTCACAGCGATCGACAAATTCTTTGCCGATCGTTTAGCCGCAGGTCATAAGAAAATCAACATCCCCACACAGCTCTTTGACCTTCTGTGTGCTAAAGGCCACAGGATGGTGGCGGATAGTGCACGCGTTCAACAAACTGAACGCTGCAAGGGACCGGCTCAAACGCCGATATCAAGGAAGGACATCATCATAGATGATATGATAAAGATTACCACCTTTTCGTCCCTAGATTTGATGGATGGATTCTATCATATCCTCATGCATGAACGGGACATCCTGTACGCAGCAGTGAGCACTTCAGTGGTGTGCTCTGGCAGTGGCTAGTGATTCCACAGGGGCTAAGTAACGCCCCTTCAACGTTCAACAGATGTGTTAAGAATCTGTTGCGATCGGTGCGCGATTTCGCACCGAGTTACTTTTAACGATTTCTTCGTCCACAGCCGGGCTATGGATGGAATGACGAACGTGGAAGTTTATAGTCCACATCCGGAAGGTTCTTACACATACGCGTGAGCATAACGTGTTCGTGAACTCAAGAAGTCTATATTTGCAGTGATCGAAACACCACTTCTTGGCTGCATCGTAGGAAAACACGGTAAACGCCCTGACCCAGATTAAATCAAGGAGATTAGCGACTAACCTGTGCCAGTCGAAGTCAAGGTACTTCGGAAGTTCTTTGGCTCAGCGGCGAACTTGCACAAATACTCGCGCAACTACGCCGAGATGACCGTTCATCTCTCTTGCCTACTAAAGAAACGAGAGGTGGTCATGGAGCGCTGAGTGTCAGCACTCTTTTGATGGTATCAAGAAAATTTCGATACAACCGCCTGTGTTGGCGATTGCATACCAGGACAGACCATTCCATGTGGTCTGTGACGCCAGCGATTTTGCGATCATCTGCGCGTTAATGCAGTACGACTCAGAAGGCGTTGAGTGCGTCGTCTGTTATCAATCGCGTCAGCTGCAAGTAGCTGAGAGAAATTATCCGGTTCATGACAAGGAACGCCTTGCCATGAAATATGCACTGGCCAAGTTTCGGGTACACATTTTAGGAGATAGGCCCTTCATCGTTATACCGACCATGCGTTGTTAGGCACGGGCGTAAACAGTCCACACCTCTTGCAACGAATGGGGAGGTGGCTGTCTTTCTTCGCGAAGTACAATTTCTCCGTCGAATAAAAACCAGGACGACTCAATGTCGTTGCCGATGCTCTTTTGCGTCGGCCCGATTTCGAGCCGACTGCTCAACCCAACAGTATAAGTGATCGTACTGTTGCAACACTACCAGTGAGTGTTCCGTCGTCGTATCTGCTCAACAACGTGCGGAAGGCATACGCAGAAGATGAGTCTCTTTCGCTGTTGACGGATTACGTGTCTATTCCATGCAGTCAAGCTTTGAAAAGCCTGACGTCTAAATACCCCCCTTTACCGTACGGTATTCGGTTCGTGATGGACTGCTGTACTTTACAGAAGTCACCAGCGACACACCTCGTTTCATCGCTCCCGCTCATGATGATTTGCGATTGCGCATCATACATTAGTATTACAATCCCCCAACAAGTAGGCATCGCGATAAAGAAGAGACTTACCTCACGGTAGGTCGTAACTTCTACTGGACCCGCCAGTATAAGTTTGTGCGCATTACATCCGCGCTTGCGAAGTTTGCAAACGAGTGAAGCCTAGTCCTTCACCCCGTGCATTCTTGCAGCCTCTACAGGTTCCGGCAGAGTGTTGGCAGTCCGTATCGATGAGTTTCGTCTTTAGGTTTCTCAGAGACGCTCACAAGAATACTGGTATTTTTGTGTTTGTTTATCGGTTCATCAAGATGGTACATCATGTTGCTGTACCGGATACCATCACAGCCCAGTGCTGTGCTCGTGTCTTCATCGATACTATCTTCCAACTTCACGTGTTACCCCATGAAATCGTGTCTGATAGGGATCCCCGCTTTTCGGCGGAGTTCTGGCCATCCGTGTTCCGTTCACTTGTAACACGCTTAAAGATGTCAACTTCTGACCATCTAGAAACAGATGGTCAGACGGAACGCGTAAACCGCGTCCTAGAAGAGATACTTCGAGGGTATGTCCACTCGTTTACGAGTTGGATTAAGCTCTTGCCGATGGCAAAATTCGCCATCAACAACTCGGTGCATGCGTCGACAACACTTACACCGTTCTTCTTGAATGGCCTACGCCATCCATGTTTACCCGCCTTCTAAGAGTGTGACTCTAGTTTAAGGGGGGGGTGGACTCGCTCGAACAAAAACCGATCTAGTTCTTGCTCATCACCCGTCGACAATAGTGTCGACGTGATGGATGCCGATGTCGATGCGATCGATATCGATGATGATGATCATGACGATGCTAACATATTCAGCATCGCCAATGACCGCCAAAGTGAGGACGATGATACCCTCACTGGTGAAGACAACGTTCTTTCAGCAGTGCACACGAAGCGTACTGCTGTTGACAAGGATGAATTAGCAGAGGAATATCTGCTGACTCGCGAAGCAGTTGTCCGCTTCGTTCAAGACTCTTTTGCAGATGCAATAGACAAGCTGAAGAGAATTGCAGACAAACATGGAATAGCAAGTGTTCTTTCATTTGATGAAGGAGACTTAGTTTTACTGTCGACAGGAAGCCTACCAAAACACGCAGTGACAAACGTGTGCAGCAGCAAACTACTGTCCAAGTACATCGGTCCATTTCTTGTATTGCGCCGCATGGGCAAAGCAAACACGATTGAGCTACCTCTTAGTATGCGTACGCATACTACGTTTTACGTTGAACGTCTCCGCCCGTACTATCAGCACGAGCCCGCTTCGAGAGGCGAAGAACACCTCCGCAGTCAAGGGCCGAAATCACCTTCGAGTGGTCCCGTTTCAACGAGCCAGTCTGGTCGACTAGCGAAGCGACCTGCTCACGCAGTTGAGCGATGTACTGACGAGCTGCAGTCAGACTGTCAGAAAGATAACCAACCAAAGGTTTGTTATCAAGTTGCGCGAACGATAATGCGGCACCATCGTTCGAACGATCGTGCGCTAGCGAATTGTAATTATCCTTTTCAAGGTCATGGATCTCTTAACGCCGAGTCCGTTCATGAGCCAGGTTATCGTGTAACTGTTCCGTTACACGTTTCAGTTCCTAAACATCGAGCTGATCCGAACATCGAGCCGGATCAGGCGTTCCAGCCACCACCACATCCTTTGGTGGATTCTGGCGGTGGTCAACGCTTTCTAGTGGAGCGTCTTTTGAACCACCGCGACGTGAATGGCGTCCGGACGAGTTACCTTGTCCTCTGGCGTGGCTATCCACCGGCGTGGGACAGCTGGGAGCCTCGTGCCCAGCTGATTGTTGATGTCCCTGGTCTCGTCGAGAAGTACGACGAGACCCATCCGCTGCGTTTGAAGAAGGGTCGTCAGAAAACGACCTGCCTGAACGCAAGTACAGGGATTGCAAGGTGTCAATCCCTTCGGCCATCTCGGAAGGGATGCGCGCTCTCCAGTAGGGATCATTAGGAAGGAAAGCCTCCCTAGGGGCACGGTACGAGTTGTCCAGGGAACCTGGACACGAATCATTCCACGAGAGACAGGGTAATCCTGCTTCTCTTGAAAGCCGGTGCAACTTGTACTGTACACCATCTAGGTTGCGTTTCTCAAAGATGTGAGCTGCAGCAAGTTTATCGAGCCAGGCCTCAGGGCCAACGCACTCGATGTTGTGGATGAGGGCATTCCATCCCTGCACCAAGGCTTTACCGCCTCGACCACGGCTATCATTGTACTAACGATGTTTGAAAAATGCATCGGTGAAGAATTCTTCCTTAGCACGGATAGTTTCCGTGCTGGAATTAGGTGGGCAAATCTTCCTGCAATCGAACAACGGAATTCGATCCCGTTCGGTAGTCGTGCCGGCAAACCGGTCCAACTCTCTGGATGGCGGCATCCACGGAGACTCCACTTGAGGAGCGTGGCACAGGACATTTCGATCCTGGCCTCTTGATATCAGCGTGAGCACTGAAACCAGTGTTACCCCGATCCCTCGAGTAACTTCGGTTGTGGTTATGTATAGGTGCATCATCACCGTATCCACGCGTCCTATCGTTGGATGGACTTGCGTGAGGCGGAGACTCATCGGAATAATCACTCGATCCGAAGATCTCGGACATGATGCCGCCACGTTGACCAGAGCTAGTCAACCTGGCGCTTGCAGTGTCCGCCCCGGGTGATCCGGAGGCGTGAGGCGTCGCCTCCGAGTCGGATGCATCATCCGAATCGCCAGAATAGATACGCTCTACCTCAGACTCGTCTTGATTACGATTCGTGGTACCCGCTGCAGACGCAACGGGTGTACCTGTCGCACGTGGAGGATTCACGACAACAGGCGATGAATCGCCTGCTGCTGAGGCGTGAAAGGCACTTTCCGCGGCCGCACGCATGCGTGCAGCCTTCCTTCTTACTGCTGCAGTAGCAGCTCGCGTGGTTTTGGAAACTATGCGTTGGATTGGCAAATGAATGGAATTCAACCAACAAGTGTTCCCTTTCCCAGTGATCCAGCGGTGGTCACCCTGTCCCAATCAGTTCTAATATAGTCAACGGGTGATTGATGGTTAAGGGGGGGGGTACTGTAACAGGGTAGCTCAATACATAATATTGACACTATATGGTGTCAATAGGGAGATTGTTTAGCGTGACAATTCTCTATCAGTATTATCCGAGATGGATAATATTAAAGGAACATTACCCCCTTGAAGGATGATATTCATGCACTGCTCAAACATTGGTTGATATAGACATATCAACCATAGGATACCACCAATGATTGCTAGACGCGCGTAAGGAGTGGTGAGCAAGTTGTTGATATACGACAATGTAGATTAATATGGTTGGATAAAGTCGGAAGTTAAATTGATAGCTAAACTATACTAAATGCGGTTCTCCTTTACCCTTTACTCAGCTTAGTTGTTAAGTAGATTAGCTTCCTCTGCACGTACGAGTGTACGTGAAGTTTCGCGGCACCCCACACAAAGGGTGCCCTCTTACACGTAGAAAGTAAAAATATAATGTATATAATTAAGCCTTAAGTACTCGCACCGATGTTTTGTCTTAACTTGATTATTTTTATTTACAAAAGTGTATGCTTAAGACTTGCTCACCACTTATTGCGCGCATCAATCGTTGATTGGACCGCTAGAGCTGGCTGATATGATAGCCATATCAGTCAATCGGTAAGTGCTTCGGAATATCACTCCTTATGGTAATACATACGACCTTTATCAGCATGTTTGATAATATTCCAATTAACAAGTGTCAGAGATAATTTCATGTAACAGGCTCACCCCGTTACATTCAGAGGTTACTCTTCTATCTTAAAATTTAAGAAAAACCTCAAGGACGGAGCTTCCTCTGTCACCGAGCGATAAAAGTGATGTTACTTTCTTTTTTTAATCTCATAGAGTTCTTTGGTCAAATACCTCTCCACAGAAACCGTATGTCGGACGTGGGGTTTTTGGCGGTTTAAAGTGTGGACTACATGCTTGTTATTCCTCTATCCACTCTTGGTCTCATGTAGCCAAACAAGTGGGCATTGTAACTTATTTGTGTGCTTGCATTTCATCATCCATGGTGTGGTTTACATCTCGCGCACGCTCATAATTTTGGCGGGCTCCGCTCTCGTTCGTGATTGGTGCATTCTAAATTTAGCGCGCTTTCGCGCGTAAGTACGCCCGATAGCCACATAGTATCGTGCCAGTCGAAAAAAAGAGCACTCTTCATTCGTCGCTGCTCCTCACACCCGTATCAACAGCACAACAACCAGCTGGATATTTATCGACAAAAGCGAACGTCACTCTCTCCTCCTCCTTTATCTTTCGTCTTTGGTTTCCTGCTGCTTGACGCTATTGCAGTCAATGCCGACCTCAATGTTGGCCATGGACGACAGCCTCGCTTTTGTCTCCCAGCTCGGTCCTGGTGCGTTACGACCCAATTCTAAAAAAGTACCGGATAACATGTATGTTTATTTCTTATTTTTATGTATTGACAGACTCTTTCGACTCGAACAGCCTCTTGGAGCTACACACGGCGTGGATGGACAATGAAGAGCTCAACCAGTTGCCTCTTTATGTGGATGTCGAGGCTGATGATTCGATATCTGGAGCTCCATACCTCAGCATCAACAGCTCGAGAGCTGCCGAAAACGCTGCGGATCAATCAAAGCTACTTCATTCTGAATTAAATATGGATCTGGACGATCACGACGCTCAGTTACTGGACGCAGCTCTAGAGATCCCCTTTGATACGGAACTTTCTCCTATTTTAGAGCCTTTTGCAGATGCGTCAGCTCCTGCAAGCCCCCTAAAGATACCTCGCAGACGCCATAAAAACAGTGCTGCTAAGCGTAAGGTGACCGACTCTTCTTCAAAGAGAACAGCACAGGTGGGTAGTGCACCACAGATCAGCGTGCTCGAGAAGAGCAAGACAGGAGACGAGACAGCACTAGCAGCTGTGACGACACCTCGTCCCAGGACGAGGAGCTCGTCGTGGCAGCAGCAAGAACAGGATACTTTTTTTACCTTGTTTAAGGTCAAGTGGCCGCTTACGCCCAAGAGCGAGCCACAGCCGTCGTTCAGTTCATTGCTACTGCAGCGCTTTGATACCATAAGTACCAAGATTCGCACCAAGAGTGTGATCGAGGTGCGACAATTTTACGCAACGGTGATGCAGAATGTTGCTGCGATGCTGCAAGTTGTGGACAACGATGTTGACTTGACAAACCCGGATCAAGTGCGTATTGCTCTGTGGTGCTGGAGCAAGCTTATGGCTGAGAAGAAACATCGCGATGAGTAAGAGTTGGATGATGGATAGTACAGCCAAGTTTTGTTTTCATGGCTCTAACTTGTGTTGTTTGGATGTACAGATTTCTAGGTTTCGATGCTGCACCAGTAAAAGGAAAGATCAGCTTGGCTAACATGCTGCTTCAGTCTATCATTCGTAGTCGTCGCCAAATGCTTAAGGCCAAGTCGGAGAAGTCAGTACTGAACAGCGAAGCATCAACATTAAGTCGGCCTTCCATCTCGGCGTGGGTGTCTAGGTCGAACCTCAGCTCATTTTTTGCTGGAGCAGAAGATACGATTTCAAAGCCTTCCACGGTGCAGATTCATTATCCCATGGTGCGAAAGAAACAGTCGGCTTTGCAAAGTCAGGCGGCTTTTTTGCCATTTGCTAGCTCAACCTTGATCTCTAAGAATAGTCAAGGGGTGCGGTCTTTGCCAGCTACGCAACAGGGAGTCACTAGATCAGCAAGTGGATCGAAGTTGAAGCGCAAGCGCAGCATGCCCACAAATTGTTTACCTGCCACTGCGAAGCGCCGGTACGGAGTCATGGCGGCTGCTTTTATGAGCAAGTCTCCTACGCATGCGCGGTCCAAGTCGCTCACGCAGCGTGTAGTAGTCTTTCCACCCGGACAAATGTCGCGGAAAAAGACTTATATGAAGATGCGAATGGTTCCCCAAGATAAGCAGACGAAAGCCAATGTGGTGCGTGGTGGATACAAGCCCAAGGTGGAGCTCAAATTGTCGTCAACGAAGAAGATTTCAGAAATCGCGGCTCATATGAGCAAGAAGTGGGCTAAAGTGCGCATGTTGTTGCCGAAAGAAGCCGTCCTGTGCTTCTTTGAGAAGAAAGGCAAGGGCAAATGGTCCAAAGAAGACTCCGACGTGACTTGTTTCGATATCTGGAAGCGTTCTGGCAAGCGGACAAATGATGAGAATGTGGTCGACGTGTCTTACGTGTGGATGGTGCCTGAGACTGATGTTGCTGAAGACAGAGATGCTCACGTCCAAGAATTGATGCCTCTGGCGGCACCGCCCAAGCTTGTTAAGCTAGCCGTATGTGCTGGAAGCAACCAAACAGTGAGCAGCAGCGATGAAAGTGATACTGGGCACTTTTGCTCGACATGGGCCTTACCAGAGTTCGGTAACGAAGTTCAACGAATTGCTGCAGAAGGCGAGGAAAAAGCATTTATTACGAAAGCATTGACTAGTGATAGCTGTGACGAGGGTGGGAGCGAGAAGTTCATTCGGACAACGGGCCGTTGGCGGCGGCGTATTCAGCCAGTGCTCGTATCAAAAGAAGAGTTCAATATCTAAGCGCAAGACCTTGTATTTGTACGGCCTAATGAGTCAGAGGAAGCAAAAATACCATCGCATTCGCAACCGAAATGTACCTACTTCGTCGGGTTTGCCAAGAGGAGACGGTAGTGAAAGCCACTCTCTAATGACATCACCTGCAAACCACCAAGCTCTTCCATTTTGTGAATTCCAGACTCAAAGTTCCATTCGTACGCTCGACCATCAGCTGCGGAGGCATCACAGCGTGTCAGTGTTACGAATAAAACCACATGAGACTCAGTAAATACGCGAATATGCTGGCAATTGACGTACCTGTAACGAAAGACGACTTGTCAACGCCCTTGCCAATTTTCACAATATCCTTCGCAAAGACAACGTCGTCATTGGTAATCTGAATTGGTGTCGTGTGCATCTGCGATGTAACGTGAGCCAAATCATTACTTCGCTGACGGCCTGATGGCGTCCGCCCTGCTAGCCAGATCTTGTCGTCAGCTGTACCACAACAACAAGCAGAATAGCACCGTCAGACAAGAAAAGGGAGTCGTACTCGCCCAAACTTACCTGTGATGAAAGTTGTGTGGAATTGGCTGCACTTAAACAGCCTCACATCATCGCTAGTTTTCACCAGCCGCGGGACAACTTGGTCGCCGTTGCTTACAGCTTTACCCTCCGGGTTTAGCAATTTACCCCACATGTACAACTCGCCATCCTCTGTAAAACATGCGCAGAGAGATTCAGAGTTGGCACAGCGCGGGAAACAAAACGTCACGATATCGAAACCACAAACCTCCAAGAGCGCACGAGTGACTGAAGCCAGCACCCACTTTGACGATCTTCTTGCCCTTTAGTGCAATCAGTTCTTGCGGTGCATCGGTGTTCCCCGTGCCGTACCCAAGTTGACCACGTTCGCCCTTACCCCACGTGAAAACCGTTCCAGCTTTTGTCACCGCAAGTCCATGCTGGTATCCCGCAGCGATGTCGACAATCTCATCACCGTCGATATTCACGTGCGTCGGCAGCTGCACACTGACACTCTCCTCGCCGATACCGCACTGGCCATAGCCATTGGCACCCAGCGTAAACAGTTTGCCACTCTCCGTCAACAAGAACGTCAACGCCGTAGAACACACGATCGTCTTGACTCGTTCTCCCTCCGGCAGATCCAGCAGCATCGGCTCCAACGTGTCTACTCTACGTGCATACGTGAAGCTGTTCATCCAACCCACGAGCTTTGGAAGAACGCGCTGCATGTTCGTCGTGCGAATTACGTCACGAAACGAGTGCGTGCGTCCAAACACATAGGCGTCTCCAGCATGTGTAACAAAGCCAGCGTGAGCCCAGCCAACAGAAATCTCCTTGACCGACAGATCCGTTGTCGTCGGTAATGGCGTGGGCGTCAACACGTTTTCGTAACTTCCAGTACCCAGCGCACCGAGAAAGCCATCACCATACGAATGCAAAAGAGCTGCTGCAACATTTCCATTCGATGTATCACATCGTTAGATGACGCTGCAAGTCAATAATAAGGAGGCAAAATGTAGCCATCAATTGATGTTTATCCACACGTACGATCCCGAACTTTAGCAGATCCAGCAACAGCTGTGTGGGACGCAAGCAAAGTAGGTTAGCTACAAAGCAGACGAACAAGACAATACGAGATGCAATGAGCTGGGCGTACTGCGAGCAGCGAAGAGCGTTGACCGGCGACTGGAGGCTAGAGAGCGTAGCGACGGCATGATGCCCATCATGTTCACAGGCGCCAATAGCTACATGGCTACTGGAGCACAGCGGTTCCTTTTCCACCAATTATAGTCAAGTACAGCTCCCCTAGCCCTGGTACAGCAAGTTGAAGCGACTCTGGATCGTACAGAAAAGAAGCAGCACTTGCAGTTGAGTCGACTCGTATGGTACATTCGTTTCCTGCTGTAGCACCATTGGAAAGCACGTTACAGACGAAGCAACTGGATGTACCCATTTGGCCACTCATAGTATCAATGAGACGCGCTTGGTAAACATGCTCTCCACCTTCAGTGTCCTAATAAGCCGCAAACGGATCGTGCGGCAGAGCCTACTCCAACCTTTGGTTGCACAGCGGACACGACGGCGCTCGCTGCGAGTTGACCGATGTGAACGCCCACTTGTCGAGACACTCTAGATGAAACTCGTGCTTGCACTTTCGAAGCAGACGGAGGACGTCGCCCGTTTGGTACTCGTCGCAACAGATACAACACGTATCGTTATTCGACGGCCCTCCTCTGTACTTCACCAGGAGCTCCACAAGTTCTCGACGCTCCACGCAGCCGGTAAAGTCCACATCACGACGCCCGAGTCGCTGTTTCAAGTCGGCAATGCTGGCTTTTGCCAGCTCTTCTGGTGTCTTGAATTCCTCCGTAGGCATGGCTTGGACTGTGCGCAGAGTACGATTGAATGTCTCGGAGCGCACATCCTCCTGCATTGCTCGGTTATAATCGTTGGCTTCTCGCTGTTGTGCTACTTCTGCTACCCGCGTGTAGGCCTCTCGGAAGAAGGCGAGCCAACCCATTTCAGGATGCTACGATAACCACAACACCAGTATGGCAGTCATAGTGTCAGTAGTGCAGGTTCTAAGCGCATTTAAAGTGCATCCATAGTGCTTTTTGTACCCGTCCACGGAGCTGATGGAGTACACAGCAGAAACGCGCCACTTTCCAAAAGGTCAGAAACGAGAGCCCGAGTAAAAAGAGCACTGCTACGTTCAACGCAAGCGACGCGCCCTCGTGATCTGCAGCACTGCTCTGCAGTAACGGCATCACCACTTGCACAAATAGCAACAGCGCCACAATCCACGGATTATCCGTCACATTGATCAAAACGAACATAATTCGGCTTCTTGCTTGGTTCTCGAACCACTTTTCGACTTGTTCACTTGCGTGCAAAAATAGAAATGATGATTGCGCGACTTCACACGCACAAAAATAGAAATGATGATCATGCGACTGTACGCGCGCGTGTCGCAGGTTTGCATCGCGGGGTGATTGAGTGGTACACGGTACCACCAGCAGCTGACCAGCTCCAAAAAGCGACTTGAGATTCCGATCTCCACCTGCAATGAACGCGACGGCGCCGGCGCTGATCCCGCCCTTTCGCTTCAGCACGGTACAACAGGGACTGTACCGTGGCTCGTATCCCACGCTCAAGAACTTCCGCTTCTTGAGGCGCTTAGGACTCAAGACGGTCGTGTCTGTAATTCCCGAACCGCCCACGAGCGACTTGGCGGACTTTTGTGCGACGGAAAAGATCACGTTGCGGCACTTTTATGCGGAGAAGTTCACGTCGGATAACGTGACGGTATCGCCTACTACAATCGCGCAGATTCTGGATCTTGTCGTGCAGTTGAAGCATCTCCCGCTGTATCTCCACTGTCTAGATGGAGCGAATGTAACGGGCATCGTCGTCATGGTCCTCCGGAAGCTTTTGAATTGGACCAAGCTGGCTACTGTTTCGGAATTTTGCAGGTGGGTATAATGCAATAGAGGAGATGTAGCTTTGTTGTTATAGGTTTAATGACGCTGTTGGTTGGTGTTTTTTGTAGGTTTACACGGGACCACGGCATCGAAAAAGACGAGTCCGAGTACCTGGCTGCCTTTTCAGAGGAGATTGTCATCGGTGATGACGTGCCAGAGTGGCTGTGGAACGGCGTGCGCGTGACGAAACATCCCACGATGATCGTGCATCAGCCAGGTCTGGAGCTCGCGACTGCTAATGCACTCGATGCTGCTGGGAACTTGACCAACGGCACGCCGAGTCTCAAGTGGGAGACGGAAGTCGAAAAGACCGAGGCTATTCTGCGGCAGTTTGAGAAAGCTAGTCGCAACCGCATTGGAGAAGTGGCTGATGGCAGTGAACAAGTCGAGACAGTTATTGACGAGGCGCTGCAGGATGTCCCGCTCACCCGATCGCTCGAAGCGCTCGATCTAGCAGGTGTGTGACTGCTGGCGTCAGCTTAATCAAACAAGTAGACCCAAAAGTCACTCGGTTCGTCCTATTTTTCATCGTTCTTCTCCGTTGTCATGTTGTCAAGCCAATAAATGTTCCTCCCATCACGACTTTTTGATTTGGCGCCGTTTCAAGATCGAGATGTTGTGGTTGGCGCTGAATGAGTAAGGTGAGGTGCACCACACCATGACGAGTGCGACTTTCTGCAGAGCTCGTTTGTCAATTTGCACATGTTGTGACCAAGGAGCAGAAGGGACTTGCATCATGGAGACCTCGTCACTAGATGCACACGCAGTCAGTGAAGCGGAAGCTGCAGCCACGTCGTCCATGTTTGTGTTTACGGCCGAAAAGGCGGGTATGAAGGGAGTGGACAAGCAGCACGTACAGGAGGTGGTGCACAAGCTGTCGAAGGACTCAAGTTTCTATCAAAAGTCCCTCCGTGACAATGGAAAAGTCCAGCAGCGAGTTGTTGCAATGCGAGAGAAGCTCTCGCGCTTGTCAAGTGCACAGCTGGTGCGGTTGACACAGGAGACCGACGTTCGAGTGGCTCAGATGGAGGCGTCGCGAGACCTCTCACACATCATTGTGGTTGTGGACATGGACATGTTTTACGCGGCTGTCGAGATGCGGGACAAACCCGAGCTGCGGGATGTGCCGCTGGCAGTTGGTGGACTCAATATGATCAGCACGGCCAATTATGCTGCAAGGCAGTACGGCGTGCGTGCTGCCATGCCAGGGTTTATCGGGAAAGAACTCTGTCCGGAACTTCACTTTGTACCTGTCAACATGGAAAAGTACAAACGTGTCGCGGCTCAGATCCGCGCCGTGTTTGCAGTGTACGACCCGAACTTTGAAGCTTTTAGTCTTGATGAAGCTTGCCTTGATCTGACGGACTATGTGGTCAAGTACTGGCGCAAGTACGTCTCAGCTGCTGTAAGCCATGCCGGAAGTATCGAACTCGATGACGAGGAAGCGTGGACATTAACGGCTGCTGGACGTGCTGCGATCGCGGAAGTTATAGTTCGTGAACTTCGTGCGAAAATATTTGACTGCACGCAGCTTACTGCCAGCGCTGGAATTGCAGCAAACGTGATGCTTGCCAAGGCACGGTCAATACGGTCTTGCTCTTGCATCTGTTGACGGCTGGATCTAACTGTCGTTAGTGATGTTGTTCTCGTAGATTTGCTCGGATTTGAACAAACCGAACGGGCAGTACGTCTTGCCATTCACACGGGAGGGTGTGATGAGTTTCATTCGGGACTTACCGGTGCGCAAGATCGGCGGCATTGGGAAAGTTACAGAGAAGATACTGAACGAAGCGCTGAATGTGTACACCGGTGCCGAGTTGTTTGCTCAGCGTGGCAAAATCGCCTACTTGTTTTCCGAGAAGACGGCCGAGTGGCTGCTACGGACATCACTTGGCGTACGTGAGCGACGGGGGAAACAAGAGCGCAAGAGCTTCAGTCGTGAACGCACATTCTCCAGGTTGAGCGATCCCAAGCAGCTCGAAGCCAAGTGCAAGGAGATCTGCATAATGCTCGCCCAAGACCTGGAAAGGGCAGATAAAGCCGCAAAGAACGTTACGTTTGTCTACAAAGACACTGCTTTTGCCCGCTGTTCACGATCGATGACGCTTGCATCTGCAATTTTCACAGCTGACGATCTGTTTGCGAATGCCGTCGAGTTATTACGCCGTGAGTTGCCACTCACGCTACGTCTGATGGGAATCCGTGCAGCAACGTTGGTGGCACGTTCAAAAGCGTCGATGGACTTGTCTCAACCGGATCTGGGCAACAAGAAGCGGCAGGTTGCTATCAACAAATTTGCGGAACTCGTTGACAACCTTGCCCCTGTGTCCATGTCAGGTAGCAGTAGAAGCCACGACCAAGACCCAGTCAAAAAGGTGCATGTTGTAGCATCTGTGGCTGCCCCTTTGCATAACAAGCAGAGCTCCACTCCCGAATGTGAAGAGACTTCTCTGGTCGGTGCTGAGGACACTTTTGTACCAAACGCGTCCGATGACGGTCGACATCCAAGGCGTGATACGATCACAACGACCGACCGCTCGCACTCCTTTGCTCTTGGATTGAACCTGAAGAATTTGCTGGAAGTGGACAATCAGCCGTGTCCGATTTGCGGGAAGCTATTGAATGTTCGGAACAACTTTGAGGTGAATGCTCACATGGATGTGTGTGTCCTGAGCGAAACTTCTTCCTCACCACGGTCATCTTTGCTGCAGCGGACAGTGGTGAAGCAGCCGAAGAAGAAGATTATTCCAAGCGTGTTTGCGCATGTGCAAACGATGTCAGAAAAGGCAGATGCGAAGCCGTGTCCAGTTTGTGGAAAGTTGTTGAATGCCTGTAATAGCATGGAGGTGAATGTCCACATGGACGCATGTGTCGCTCGAAGTCGATTTTCGGCTGGAAGGACGACGGGCAAGAAGCGAAGTGGACACGAAATGTCCAGGAAGAATCCTGGAAACAGCATTGGCGCTTTCTTTCGTAAACACTACAATGATACGTAAGTTTAACATACCTGTGGCTTCTGATCTCTCATTCTCAGTAATACACTAGCCACTGCTACGCTCCTCGTTATGTATGGGAATACAAAGGCTTCTGGGAACTTGTGTGTTTTAGGGAATTTTAAATGAGGCATTAACGTGGAAATGTCGTTGTAGGTTTCGTGGTTTTTATGTCTTGAGCGTATCGCTGAGCACATCTATACGACGCGGGTAACGCAAGAAAGGAAGAAATGATGCACTGCGGCGTGTTTCATTGTGTCCTGAGTGCGTTATTTCAGTCATTCTACTTGTTACCACACAAGAGTTCTATAGCATTATAAAAAGATCCACCATGAAGATGAACCGCACATGCGAATGAAAAAGCGCCTATTCCGCGTCCGAGTCGCTCCAGTACTCGCCGCAAGCTTCTGCCTCCTTGCGAGCTTTGTCCTTGGCCTTCTTCTCCTTGCGGGTGAGTTTGCGCTTGACCTTCGTCTTCGTGACGTTACCGAAAGCATCGATGACTTCCTCCTCGTCCTTCTGCTCGATCTTCGTCTTGTCCTCCATTGGCTGCCCCTCGATCATGAGGAAACCATTCTCGACATTCCACGTCTCTTGCGTCAAGGCCGACGAGAACTCGTTGTGGTGCGTGATCATGACCACACCGCCGTTGAACTCCTTAATAGCCGAAGCCAGAGCACCAAGCGAGTCGCGGTCAAGATAATTCGTCGGCTCATCGAGCACCAAAATGTGCGGGTTCAGCCACATTGCAGCGGCGAGCACGACCTTCACCTTCTGACCACCCGACAGACCACGCATGCGCGAGTGGGTACCGAACTCAGCGCCCAAGCCAAAGCAGTCAAGGTGCTTCTGCACAGCAATGGCAGTGGGCGGACGGGACTGCAGGTTGGCACGAGCAGCTTCGCGGTCATCGGCAATCTGCAACAGCTTGTCCCAGCCCCACTTCTCACACTTCTCACGAGGCACCCAGGCGTTGTCGTCCACCGGACACTTCTCCCACTTCAACTCGTACTCAAAACTCTTCTTGAATTTACGACGGGACACAATCTCCTCCAGCACACGCTTCTCGCCTTCCCAGTTTACCGGCTTCTTAAAGTGCTCCTTCTCCTCCTTCGACAGCTTACGCGTCTCCTTGGCCAGAAGCTCCTTGTCTTCACCAGACTGGAAACGCCACTGGATGTACTGGTTTGCAGTCTCATCAAGGTGCGACTCAATGTGGTGGAAAGCGTGCTGAGCCACGTAAGCGAAACGCATGGAAGGGTGCTTCCACATCTGGCCAGAGGTAGGCTCGACCTCACCCGTAAGCATCTTGATCAATGTCGACTTACCGGCACCGTTGGGTCCGAGCACAGCGATACGACTCGAAAGAGCACACGTTACTGAAATGTTGTTGATCGACGGTTTGGTCGTGCCAGGGTACTGGTACGAGCATTTCGTCAGTCGAATGATAGGCTTTCCCTTGTTCTTAATATCAGCAAGGAAACCAGGCTCAGGGAACGTGAACTTCACATTCTCCGACTCAAGCTCGTAGTATGCCTTCGCCTCTGGCTTCTGCTCCACGAATTTGGACAGGTTGCCCTTGTAGATCTTCAACTTTCGCGTCTCGTAGTGAATAATGTTCGTGCAGACCTTGTCGAGGAAACCAGAGTCGTGCGATACCATGATCGACGTCACGTTGGTCAGGCCCGTGAGGTAGTTCTCTAGCCAAGCCACGTTCTTGACATCCAAGTGGTTCGTCGGCTCATCGAGCAGCAAGATGTCAGCCTTTCGCAGCATAGCACGAGCCAGCTCCAATTTCATCTTCCAACCACCGGAAAGAGTGCCGACAGCCTGGGCCTGCATCTCATCTGTGAAGCCCACATCAGATAGAGTGTCCTCAACCTCCTCGCGCGGGGTGTCCTTGAGGTCCTCATCCACCAGGATGAACTCCACCACAGACAGCTCCGCTTCCGAAGCCTGCAGGTTGTGCTCCACAAACACAGTCTTCAGCTCGTCGCGGCTTGGGAATCCCTCCAGCTGACCGTTCGAAATGGCGCGCATCAACGTCGACTTACCACACCCGTTGGGACCGCACAGACCGTAACGGTGACCACGCTTGAGACGGAGACGAGCATTGTTCAGCAAGATCATACCACCGTAAGCAAGCGAGAACTCACAGTTACAGAGGTCAGGGATGCCCTCGTCACAGTCCACATCCTCAATAAAGATCGACTTGTTCTCCTTGAAACAACGATCGCGAATCTCATTTGCCACCGGCTTCAGCTCCTCCGGACCCAAAAACGCCTTGAAGTACGCGCCAATCTCCTTCTCAAACACACTCTTGTTAAAGTTGCGTGCAACTACCAAAAAGTAGCAAATGCCCGTCACATAGTCCACCGTAAAGCTGTCAATGCCTGCCTTGACAGCCGCCGGACTGGCAGCAATCGACTCAATCACCACCTTGTGAATGTTCTCGTAGTCCACCTTGAGCTCGTCTTCCGATACTTCCATCGATCCACCAGCGACAAACAGCGTCTCATGAGCACGCGTTGCCACTTCGCGACACTCCGGGTCAGCCTGCGTCTCAATCACCTTCTTCAAACCCGGCAAGAGCTTAGGAATAAACAGCTGCGCTTCCGCAGGGTCGTCCATCAGCTTGCACATGTTGTCAATAATAACCGACGCCTGACGCTTGACCGCCGTCTTGCCTTCAGCAAGCGCACGCTTCAACAGCGGCTCCATGATCGCCAGCGCAGGCGCTTCCACCGTCTTGACAAACGTCGTCGACGCCAGCTTGTGCGTGCACTCGGCCACCTCCGTGGGGTTCGCGAGACAGCTCACGAGCGCCGGAATAAACGGCTCAATGTCCATGTTGCCCACGACGTAACAGACCTTCGTCATCGTGTCTTTTGCCGCGACTTTCACCTCCTTTCGTGTGTCCCACATACAGTCCGTGACTTGCGGGATAATGTCCGGGAGACAGCGTCCCACTTGGTACGGCGCCACCTTCGAGAGCTCGGCAATGAGGTCGAGCGAGCCCTTTTTCGTCTGCCACTTCTTGGTCCGGTCGAGACCAGCAAAGAGAATGGGCAAGAGACGGATCGTCGAGTTCTTGTTGGCCGAGCTGATGATCGTGAGCGCCGCTTCTTGTGCGACAGGACGCACCGTCGGCTTCTTGTCGGCCAAGAGGTCCAAGAACACCGACAGCAGCGGCACTAAGTACGCTTCCACGCGCTCGGCGTGCTTCTGCATGAGGTCGTCGACGACCAGCGCGGCAACGACCTTCGCCTCGGCGTCGTCGCTGAGCAGCGCCTTGCGGAGCGCCTGCGACACGACGCTCAGACTCAGCGAGGCGTCGCTGCTGACGAGCTCCGAGACTTTCTCGGCCGCGACCTTGTGCTCGTCACTCGAGCTCTTGAACGCTTCCTGGAGCGCCTCGGTGAAGTGCTTGCTCTGGTCGAGCGTGAGCTGGCTGATGCCGTCGGTGGGAGCGTAAGGAGCCATGAGGGAAGGTAGGTTGGTGGTGGTGGGGGAGTCGGTCGGTTTGAATAGACGACTTTTTTGTATGGGATTGGGGTTCGGAGAGGCAATTCGCTCGACGTGCGTGGGGCAGAGTGAATTCCGAAATGAAGAGGCTCGAGGTGAGCGAGCGAAAGAGGAGGGGGGCGGACGGATGGACGGATGGACGGAGGGGGTGAGTGGTGCTCGGATGGGGCGTCTCCGCCAGTCAAGACGACGAATCACCGTGGCCAGTCAGCGGGTTGGAGCGACGGGGCTGCGGGTTGGGAAAGGGCGCGACAGGCGCTTGTTTGAGCTCGAGAAGCGCCGGGTTTTGTACAGACGGGGTGGGAAGCAGATTCTGCTTCGACAGGGACGGATGGCACCAGCTTTTGGGAAAGCTAGTGCTACAAGCTGGAGCGAAGGGCATGAGCGCACGCGATTGGACCAGCTGGTGGAAACGGTTCCCTGCGTGACGTTTCATAGACGAAACGCTGGTGTAGAAAGGGCTTGGGCTAAGTATGGCTGACTGAGCGCCGGGAATGTTGTTTGCTCTTCGATTGCTCTGATTTGTAGCCTAGACGTTGTTGCAGCCTTTCACCTTTGTGGTAGCGGAAATAGTCTCGGACATACTGACGGACAAGTATCGCATCGCTCGCCCTTCCGGGGATCATGGGTTGCTTGGTATCTCCATTGTTAACTGGCTCGTTGCAGCTTAGATCCACTATAACTGATTCTAACATCAGGCTGGGCAAAACTCTGGGTGTGCAACGGGACAGCTCATTTTTTTGTGGACTTGCTATCGTGTGGCAGACTGTATTTCTCTTTATTGTCCAACATGTTGTCGTGTCAAAAGGGACCAAGTCGTCGTGTAAGCCTGTTGATAGAAAATCTAGTCGCGCGAAATCAGTCTTACCGAGAAAGGGGCAGGTCGTGCCGGCGACGCTTTCTTGCCGTCGGTTACACGAGTTAACGACAGATGGCCGGTTGGATCGGCGTACAGACGGACGACCGGACGACAAGAGCAGCAGATGTTCTTGCTGCGAAGATCTGCACTTGTCACATAGGCAGGTCGTACTATCGTCGAGGAAGCTGTTGCAATGAGTTTCCACAGGTTGCTTACTTTAACGACTAGCCACCCTTTGATTGACTGCGTGGACACTCTGACTACGTACATCGTCTCAATCATTCACTCACGACCCACGGTTTCATCTTTACTGTTTGTTTGTTGAGGTGCGTACCCTGTCTTCTTCTGCCAGCCCTTCCATTACTTTTCCATAAAAAGGAAGAACAGCTCATCACAACGCGTCGTGCGTGACCAGATTTTCGTAAATATGATGTATACTCCTTATTGTGAAATACCTACTGCATCGGCTGGATAGAACACGCTAGCCATTGATCCATCTAACTCTGGCTGCTTGACAAAGCACCTGACCTTGTTTCGTTCCGGCATCGTAAGGCATGTGATGCAAAAAATTGTAGTAGCTAAAAACAGCCTTTTGTAAACTGGGGAGACGTAGACGGAGAGGTCGCGTGCTTGCCTCCCGAGCGTGACGACATCGTACCGAAGAGCTATGAATGTCTGCAACGATAGGGCGTAGGTGCGGATGAGCGGGAAAAAGGGCAGCAACAAACTAGGTTTCGACATCAGAGTTATGTTGCTGTGCAGTCGCCGCGGAAATGCCATTACAGTGACATGAAAGGTGAAACTCGTGATACGCGTGCATCTCTACCGACCAGATGATCACGAGGCGATGCGGCACACCTGTTGACGCTAGTTGAGAGTACCTGTCGAGTCTTTTTATGCGGTGCCACGTCTTCGTTGCGCTGCAACCTGCAAGCTTTGTACATCCGGACTGATGTCTCGGTCGTCGCGAACGAAATCCATCTGTTTCGTGTCCAACATTACATGTCTGCAACTGTGCCGTCTTCGTCTCAGCACGGATCACATGGCGTCGTTGTCCTTCTGTCATATCAACGGTCGATATCGGTGTGGCCCTGACTGGCCAGAAACTGGTCTGCTGATTGTATCTCGCTGATTGGTCTTTCGACTGCTGCACTATGCTTGGTAGTTCGTAATGCGGCGAAACAGCTGCACTCCCGGGGCGCTCGAGTCTCGACATATCTACCTGACTTGCACAGCGCAGCCTCCGCAAACCGTTTCGTCTGCCATCTGCTTATCAAGCGAGATCTCTGCAGCCGAACAGCCTTTTTCCAATTTAAGCTGACTTGTAATGCGTTCGAACATGTGACCTCAGTGAGACGAACGATGTAGCGAACCCTTCGTCTTAAACTCACAAGGATGAGTCAGCACCCAGCTGAACGCCACATTTGCTAGTATCCACCTAGACATCAGCAAAGTCCTAAACAATCCAGCACCACAACAAAACACAACACGCCAAGACCCGATCGTTCCCAGATTCAAGATACCTTGCGAGGTGCCGTGCATGGAACAACAAAGCACGTTTGAAAAGCATCTTCCGAATGAGAGGCACCTCCTTTCATATTTTTCATTGGCACCACCCACCCGTTTGGAGCACCTGCACGCAATCCTATCGCACTGCTTCCCTTTCTGTCACCATGTGGGCACCAAGTTACTTGTCCAGTGTCTGTTCGGCTCGACGCGAGGGCGGCATCGAAGTGTCCTTCGCAGCTGCCGCCGTTTCGGCGGTAGCCCATGGCGCTTTGGTCGACACATCTTCAGGACAAAAGGTAGGAGGAGCACGGACACTCGTGCCTGGGTGCGAGCTCACAGGAGTATACGTCGATCCGTCGTCGGCTTCGTGACTCGGAGTCCACGTGCAAGGGAAAAGCGTACCGAACCGTAAATGCTGGATGACTGGCAACTTCTTCAACACTTCGCCTTCGTACAGCTTTAGCATCCCTTTGTTCGTCTTCTCCCACGATGGCAGCGCACTGATGTCGTTCAACATCGGAGATGTTTCTGCAAAGGGTGAACCTGCCTTCACTTCCTTAATAAACTTGATCGCGTCAAGGTATAAGTACTTGTGGCTATTCGTCTCGAGCACACTGTCGTCGTGCACACTTTCAGGCAATATCTCGTGCTGTCCAATGAGCTGGGCAGACCCGAAGTAGAATGGCAGGCAGTGGTAGTCATCCAGTCCCCAGACACCATGAGAGCCTGCTGGCTCCAGCATATACTGCTTCTGCAGACGGCGCATCAATGCCAGGTACGAATTGAACAGCCGCAGCACAAGTGCTGGGAAGTCCGACTGTTTGAAAAAGCCAATCTTGTGCAGACAACCTGGCAGTACCATCAACATCAGCACCACTGCTGTGCTACCTCACACACCTACCGCCTCGCAGCACGTACACATCCACACAATAAAGCTCGTTTCGTGACCAGTGCCATAGTCGATCCGAACACGGTTCCCAAACGAGTCCTCGAGATATGCCGCCAATTCAATGACAGCGCCCCGCTGCTCCTCTGGCAACGCCTTTTCCTGCATCTCACGTGTCCTCTGTTCCAGAACCCCACGAAAAACAAATCAGATGAAAACTTACAACCACCATATCGATACCTTCATATAACACTAGCAAGTTCTTTGCTGTGCAGATTCTACAGAGCCTGCGTGCAGCGTCAAGTATCTCTCGCTCCCACCTCAAGCACACGATCGTGGAACGTGCGAAACGCTCGGTTGCCAAAGCGCATCGGCTGCTGAATAGGTGGAATGTCGTCAATCCACGAGTCAATTTCGCGCACGAGGTCCACAGCCTTTTGCACGTTCTATTACCATTGCAACAGCGTCACCCCCCCCCACATCCACACAAAAAGTCAGCCAACACTCGAGTGAGTCCCTCATCAGCTTTTTGTCCGCATTCCATCCACTCAACGCATCAAATCGCACCGGAGACACTTCAATGTCGCTGGAAATGCGTTTTCCCTTCACGCTTTCGTTCAGGTGCTTGATGAAGACCAAGATCATCTGCTGAGCCTGAGACAACGATCGAAGAAAAGAGCAGCGACCGAGTCAGTTGATGTCGTGGCCTCCCTATGAACTCACAGGATCAAAGTCGATCGGTTGATCAACGCGGAACGGATTACAGATTCAATTTACTCACTGGGGATCCCACGAAGTGGCGCAGGTCGTGCTGCACGAAAATAGCCCGTGAAGGCTCCTTATAGTCGTCACTCATGCTTTAATTTTATCCCTGAGCTTTTAGCTGTCGGAGGTGGTGAGTTACAGACTTTTTATTGTGTCGATGTATTTCGTGATTTCGTGACGATGTATTGTGTCGAACTTTGCGGAATGCATCGTTTATTTTAGGCAAATGCTACACAGCTGGGTTCATCTTTATTCGGCTGGGTCATTCTGATACGTTATCAGAAGTAGCTCAGAAAAATGCCCAATTTCGTCAGGAGAAGATCCCGAATACTCAATTCACCATTACTGTTTACTCACTTGCCCGCGCAGAGTAGCACGAGGCGCACGCATTGATGCAGCACCGATTTCTGGCGAATCCCTGCGCCGTTCACATCGACCACATTGTTGAAAGTTGAGGTTAAGGGTCATGAGTTGCAGTAAGCGCCAGCCGTTATTTTGGTTACGGATAGTCAGTGCTAGTGAGAAGTAGACGAGTCGACTTGCAACCATCTATTCCGAGCTAGTTCGAGCACAGTGTTTGGAGAAAGCGTGGCTAGGAAACAGATAGAAAAAACAAAGCAATCAATAGACATAATCCTATTGTCTACATCGGCCCAGCAAGCATATTTGCTAACAGGTTATGACCTAATGGCTGGATCAAATGACTTGAACCCCACACGGCCAACAGGCCACGTAAGGGCCTCACCGGCACGTGGCGGCCAGCCGGTACGCGCTTCCACAGTCGTCAGAGATTCTCCAGCTCACGAAAAGAGCTCGGCGACAGACGATAAGATTCTCGCGGCACTCACGGCCCTGACGAGTCGCATGGCAAAAATGGAGTCTTCGCAGTGCGAGCGCGATGAAAGTGACAAATTTCTAAGCGCTGTCGAAAACGGCATGTTCACATCAGCGCTTGGTGCGAACATGTGCGCACGGCAGATGATGACAGACGCGCTAATGGACTCGCCTGAGCAGAAGCCTGCTGCACGGCCGTCCCTTTCGCGCGTGCCTAAACACACAGAGTCGGTGTTTGCTTCGCTTGCGCCGCCAAAGTGGGCAGACGCCGCTACATGAACAGAAACAATGTGATGGGGCACCCTTTGTTTGGTGTGCCACGAAACTCCACGTACAATCGTACGTGCAGAGGAAGCTAATCTACTCAAACAGCTAGTTTGAGTAAAGGGTAAAAAGAGAACTGCATTTAATATAGTTAAGCTATCAATATAACTTCAATCTTTATCTAACCATATTAATCTACATTTTCGTATGATGACAACCTGCTCACCACTCACTACACGAGTCTAGCAGCGATTGTGGTAATCTTGGTTGATATGTCTCCATCAACCAATCTTCGAGCAGCGCATGAATACTATCCTACGAAGGGGATAATGTTCCTTCAATATTCCTATCTTGGGTAATATTAGCAGAGAATTGTCATGCTAGACAATCTCCCTATTGACACCGTTTGGTGTCGATATCATGTAACGGGCTACCCCGTTACATCACCCCACCCTTAACCATTAATCACCCGTTGATTGAATTTAACTGATTGAAACAGGGTGACCACCGTTGGATCACTCTGGGAAATAGAACACTTGTTGGTCAAATTCCAACTCATTTGCCAATTCATCGTGTGTTGTGAAAGTTCATGCGATGTGCTACCGGAGTAGCAAGAAAAGAGGTTGCTCGCATGCGTGCAGCCTAAGAGAGTTCTTCTCTTACTTCAGCAGCAGGTGATCCTTTGCCTGCCGTTGCGACTCAGCAACAGGCGGTGCCTGCTGTAAACAGTCCACGTTGTGAGTCGCCACGTGCGATAGATACATCCGCTGCGTCTGCAGCGGGTTCTGCGAATCGCAATGTAGATGATCCTAAACTAGTGCTCATCTATTCTGGCGATACGGATGATGTATCCGACTCGAAGGCGACGCCTCACGCCTCCGGATCATCTGGGGTGGACACTGCAAGATCCAGGTTGACTGGATCTGGGGAACGTCGCGGTATCGTGTCAAAGATCTTCGGACCGAGCAATTCTTCTGACAAACCCTCGTCTCACGCATTTCCATCCGACGATAGGACGCGTGGTGATGGTGGTGACGCCCTTATACATCACCACGAGAGAAGCAACTCGAGAGATCGAGCTGCCACTGGTGTCAGTGCTCATGCTGACACCACTAAAAAAGCCAGGTACCGAAGTGTCCTGCGCCACGCTCATCAAGTGGAGTCTCCTTGGATGATGTTATCCAAAGAGCTGGATCGAGTGGACAGAATGACTATCGAACGGTATCGAATTTTGTTTTCGACTGTAGGAAGATCTGTCCGTCTAACGCCAGCACGGAAACTATTTGTGCAGAGGAAGAGCTCTTCACTGATGCTTTATCAAACATCGGTGGTACGACGGCAACCGTGGCCGAGAAGGTAAGGCAATGGTGCAAGGATGGAATGCCTCCATCCATAACACCGAGTTCATTGGCCGTGAGGCCTGCCTCGGTAAACTTGGTGCAGCTTGCATCAGGTTTGAAAAGCGTAACCCAGTCGGTGTGAGATACAAGTTGCACCGACTGTCGATAGAGGCAGGGTATACTCTGTCTCTCGTGGAATGTTTCGTTTTTAATTTTCCTGGACAGCTTGAATCGTGCCCCAAGGGAGGTCTACCTCCCTGACGTTCCCGACTGGAGGGCGTACATCTTTTCTAAGATGGCCAAAGGGATTGAAAATTTGCAATCCCTGCACTCACGTTCGGGGAGGTCGTTTTCCGACGGCCCTTTTTGAATGCAGCGGGTGGGTCTCGTCGTATTGCTCGACGAGACCCAAAACATCTTTAATCAGCTGGGCGCGAGGCTCCCATCTGACCCAGGTCGGTGGATAACCACGCCAGCGTTCGAGGTAACTCGTCTGGACGTTTTTCACGTCGCGGTGGTTAAAAATACGCTCCACCAGAAAGCGTTGACCACCGCCAGAATCCACAAAAGGATGTGGTGGTGGAGGGAACGCCTGATCCGGCTCGATGCTCGGATCAGCTTGATGTTTAGGAACTGAAACGTGTAACGGAACAGTTACACGATAACCTGGCTCATGAACGGACTCGGCGTTACGAGCTCCATGACCTTGTAAAGGATAATTACATTTCGTTAGCGCACGATCGTTCAAACGATCGTGCCGCATTTTCGTTAGCGCAGCTTGATAACGAGCGTTTTCTTTGTTCTATTCGTGACGAGCTGACTGCAGCTCGTCAGGATATCGCTCAACTAAGTGAGCAGGTCGCTTCGCTAGTCGACCAGACTGGCTTGTTGAAACGGAAGCAATCGAAGGTGGTCTTGGTCCTTGACCGCGGAGGTGTTCTTCGCCTCTCGAAACGGACTCGTACTGATAGTACGGGAAGAAACGTTCAACGTAAAACGTAGGATGCGTACGCATCCCAAGAGGTAGTTCAATCGTGTTTGCTTTGCCCATGCGGCGCAATACAAGAAATGGACCGATGTGTTTGTACAGTAGTTTGCTGCTGCACACGTTTGTCACTGCGTGTTTTGGTAGAATTACACTCGACGGAAAAACTAAGTTCTCTTCATTAAATGAAAGAACATTTACTCTTCCATGTTGCCTGCGTTTCTTTTATTCTTGTCTATTGCATCTAGAATAAATTCTTGAACTTTGGGTATGATGAATATACCAGCATCGTCGTCATCATCGTCATCGGTGTCGATGTAATCGACATGGGCATCCATCACGTCGACACCATTGTCGACGTGTGATGAGCAAGAACCAGATCGTTTTTGTTCGAGCGAGTCCACCCCCCTTAGACTAGAGTCACACTCTAAGGATTCGGGTAAATGTGGATGGAGTAGGCCATTCACGAAGAATGGTTTATGCGTTGTCGACGCATGCACCGAGTTGTTGATGGCGAATTCCGCCATCGGCAAGAACTCACTCTAATTAGTAATAGAGTAGACGTACCCTCGAAGTATCTCTTCGAGGACGCGGTTGACGCGTTCTTCTGACCATCTGTTTCTGGATGGTCAGAAGTCGGCATCTTTAAACGTGTTTTAAGTGAGCGGAACACGGATTGCCAGAGCTCCAGTGTGAAGCGGGGGTTTCTATCAGACACGAGCTCACGGGGTAACCCGTGAAGTCGGAAGATAGTATCAATGAAGGCACGAGCACAGCCCTGGGCTGTGATTGACTCCGGCACAGCAACAAGATGTAACATCTTGCTGAATCGATCTACAAACACTAGAATACCAGTATTCTTGTGAGCGTCTTTGGGAAACCCGAAGACGAAGTCCATCGATGCGGACTGCAAGCACTCTGTCCGAATCAGGAGAGGCTGCAGGGTGCAAGGGATGAAGGGTAAGCTTCACCTCTTGGTACAATTACCAAGCGCGAATGTGTTTGAGCAAACGCTCATACGTGATGCGCAATCGCAAATCGTATTGATCACGAACGACGACACGAGGTGTGTCGCCGTTGACTGCTTTATAGTGCAGAAGTCTATCACGAACACCATACTTTTCGGTTGAAGAGCGGTATCGAGACGTCAAGCTTTTCAAATCTTGACTGTACGGATTAGATACGTAATCCAACAATCGCAGAAGAGACTCATCTTTTTCGTATGCTTTCCGCACGTTGTCGAGCAGATTTGACGACGGAACACTCACTGGTAGTTTTGCAACTGAGAGATCACCCCAAATGTTGGATTAAACAGTCGGCTCCAAATCGGGCCGAAGCGAAAGAGCATCAGCGACGACATTAAGCTGTCCTGGTTTATTCGACAGAGACGTTGTACCCCGCGAAGAAAGACATCCACCTCGCCATTCGTTGCGAGAGGTGTGAACTGTTTACGGCCGTGCGTAACGACGCATGGTCAGTATAAACGATGAAGGGCCTATCTCCTAAGAGATATACCCAAAACTTAGCTAGTGCATATTTCATGGCAAGGAGTTCCTTGTCATGCACCGGACAATTTCGCTCAGCTACTTGTAGCTGACGCGATTGATAACAGACGACGAGCTCAACGCCGTCCGAGTCGTACTACATTAAGGCGCAGCCGCTTGCAACATCGCTGCGTCACAGACCACATGGAATGGTCTGTATTGGTCTGCAATCGCCAACACAGGCGATTGCACCAAGCTTTTCTCGATGCCTTCAAAAGAGTGCTGACACTCAGCACTCCTTGACCACCTCTAGTTTTCCTTCAGTATACGAGAGAGATGTAAGGTCAGCTCGGCATAGTTGCGCGAGTACTCGTGCAAGTACGCCGCTAAGCCAAGGATCTTTCGAAGTCTTTTGACGTCGACTGGCACAGGCCAGTCGCTAATCGCCTTAATCTTTTCCGGATCAGGGCGTACGCCGTTTTTACCCACAATGCAGCCAAGAAGTGGCATTCTGCTCGCTGCGATTATACACTTCTTGAGGTTCGCGAACAGCTTATGCTCTCGCATTAGTGTGAGAGCCTACCGGACGTGGATTCTATGAACCTTCACGTCTGTCTTTCCATCCATAGCCCGGCTATGGATGAAGAAATCGTCGAAGTAACTCGGTGCGAAATCGCGTACCGATCGCAACAGATTCGTAACACATCTGTTAAACGTTGCAGGGGCGTTACTTAGCCCCTGTGGCATCACTAGCCACTCCCAGAGCATAACACTGGGGGTGGTCACTGCTGTGTAAGGGATATCCCGTTCACGCATGAGGATCTGATAGAATTCATCGATCAGATCCATGGACGAAAAGATGGTACTCTTTGCAATACCATCAATGAAGACGTCCTTTCTTGGGATTTCTTGGGATCGTCGTCGGAGATGGTACTCTTTGCAATACCATCAATGAAGACGTCCTTTCTTGGGATCGTCGTCGGAGCCTATGCCGTTGCAGCGTTCAGTTTGTTGAACGCGTGGTAGGAGCTTGTGGAGAGCTGTGTGGGGATGTTGATTCGCTCACATCACCAGCCGCTACGCGATCGGCAAATATTTTGTCGATCGCTGTTACCTGTTCACGAGGCAGTGGCCACTGCTTCATGACACAGTATTTCGAACAGTTTTCAGTTCGATCTCATGCCGAGTGCCTTTGTCTTTGGGCAGATCGCATGGCACGGATTCCGGGAAAACATCCCTGAATTCGACCAATCCCTTATACAAAGGATTTGTCTGTAAATACTCCCAAGATTGAGACGTGTATCGCTCAATCCCAGTCTTCTCATCGAGGACACTTTCGTCCATCGATGAGCTACTGAGGAACCGTTCGTTCTCAGTAAATAATCGTGCCATCGAATGTCGGCGACGAACTCGTCCTCTGCGACGAGTACGCAGATCTGCTTGATCTTGTCACTACGCAGATCTTGCAAGAATTTTTTAGATTCTAGCGTTGGCAACTTGATCACCTCCAAAGACTTCGGCAATGTAACCGGATCAAGTGTATAAGCGCCTACACTTGATCCGTCATTCACCAAGACGTTCACCGTCTCGGTGCTTTCCTGAGAAAAAAATCCGAAGGTGGTTGGGGGTCACACCCTCAACATAACTCTCTCGGGAGTTATCACTTTCAGGAACGCTGGAACTTTCTTCTTGTACGTGTACTGACGGTGGGTGTACTATCACAGTCACGTCCTCTTCGATCGACTCTCTTTCAGTCGATCTCGTTTTAACATGTTGTTCATTCTGAACGACCGTACCACAAGTGAGTCCATTGCACTAACTCGTAGTACATCCACACGCTTGTGGAAGCTCCAAGACGTTCATCAGATGGCCATCAGATGAACAAACGGCAGGCATCTTCACGGGTAGATGCTGCCAGCTGATCCATGGCTAGTTATTTCTAAGCCATGAAATACAGAGGATGACATCAAATATGTCATCCAAATCTAGTACGATGAAGTCATCATCGTACTGCTTTTCTTCTAGCGTGTAGTGGATTCCCACTACACGTTTGTTCACTGTTGCGGATGCGCCTGTAGCAAGGCACACCGTCATCCTTAATGGAGGGAACTCTTGCTCAACACAGTTGCGCCTACTATCCCCTAGCGACCGGCGTCGAATAAAACTGCTCGACGCCCCACTGTCAACTGGAGCGCGAAGTGACATTCCACTTGTCACTTCGATCTTCAAAGTGATGAGGGACACCTCATCACTAGGGGCAGTAACACACAACGACTGTGTGTTGGGATCAATCTTCGTCAAGAGTCCTGCAAATTCTCTTGACGTTGCTGAATCAGCAGGGTGCTCCGCCCCTACTGATCCTGTCCGTTTTTTGGCGGTCCGACTTGCTGTCGCGACATGGTCGGACCCGCGCCTTGGACCTTTCCTTGGCCAACGTCGGTCATCACGTCCTGTCTTTGGACGTGATGCGGTTCTTGGGACACTACACTCATGAGCGTAGTGCCCAATCTTCTGACAGCGATGGCATCTTGCCGTTCGCTTGTGACTCAGAGATTGATAGTTCTCGCTCTCGACATAACAGAGGTCCATTGGTTCGGGACCTCCTTTTTCCTGTCGTCTCGTCGGACGATAGTTTGAAGAGTTATACTGAGACTGTCTCAGGCTGAAGTCTTCTTGTTCCGCATACGCGATCGCCTTTTCTAGCGTATGGAAGTCCTCACGAAACATGCAGGTCTTAACCGGTCCATCTACATGACCGTAGATAAACAAGTTGATGAGCGCGTCTTATCAACAGGGTTCTCCGTAACGCTACTCGCAAGGTAGCGTAGATGTTATGCGTAATTGTGCACTTCACGCTTACCTTGCTTGAGCCTCAAAAGTGTAGATCGTGCTCTGAACTCGGCTCTCGGCGGCTCAAACGTCTCTTTGAGCCGAGACTTCAAGATCTCTAACGACTCAAACACGTTTGGATCGTGAAGCTTGAGCCCCAAGGCCCAAGTCTTTGCTCGTCCTGTCAAATTTGGTAGGGCGAAAGTGACTTGCATCTCGTCACCCTCGATGTGACGGGCCCCAATGGCGTCGTCTAACTCGACGAACCATCTCAAAACGGAATCTTCATCGGTTCCCTTGTACCTTGAGATATCAATCTTCGAGGTTTCGGGTCGACACGTGTGCGTCGGCCAGCCCATCGACTGATGAGAGCCTTGCTGTTGTAGCAAGGCTACCTTCTGTCTTTCGATGGCAATTTCTCCCTGTGGGAACTTGTTGATAGCAGCACATTGCTGGTATCTGATTGGAGACTCCAGCATGCCACTGGTGGCGGGTTCGCCCATGAGCACACTCATGCGGTCGACTGTTCCCATTCTGAGTCACTCAGGTGGGAGCAGCCTTCACGTGTGACGTGAAAGCTGTCGTCTTCTACGTCCAACATGTTCATGTTGGACGGACACTAAGCTGTCATTGGACGGAATCCAAAGTGCTACCAGGTGTAACGGGGCACCCTTTGTTTGGTGTGCCACGAAGCTTCACGTACAATCGTACGTGCAGAGGAAGCTAATCTACTCAAACAGCTAGTTTGAGTAAAGGGTAAAAAGAGAACTGCATTTAATATAGTTTAGCTATCAATATAACTTCAATCTTTATCTAACCATATTAATCTACATTGTCGTATGATGACAACCTGCTCACCACTCACTACACGAGTCTAGCAGCGATTGGTGGTAATCTTGGTTGATATGTCTCCATCAACCAATCTTCGAGCAGCGCATGAATATTATCCTACGAAGGGGATAATGTTCCTTCAATATTCCTATCTTGGGTAATATTGGCAGAGAATTGTCATGCTAGACAATCTCCCTATTGACACCGTTTGGTGTCGATATCATGTAACGGCCTATCCCGTTACAGGATCAGTGCATCTTCCGTTGGCAGCGCGGGCATACAGGGACAGCCCAGTTCATGAGAAACACCTTTTTACTCGAAACAAAAGTGTTTGTGCCATCGCCATATCGATTCGACGAGGAGGATGCGGCACGTCCAAGTGTATCGCAGACTGCTGCGGTGACAAGACCACACGTACGGGTTTCCCAGAATGGATTTATTATGCGTGGACTGTAAATAAACGCCTGTGTTGTTGTTGCTCATAAGAATAAACTTCGGCCAGGAGGCAAGAAAAGTAGTAGGGTTTTAGTCGCGAATTGCACTGATATCTTCATTTATGGGCTTTGCACGGGCAAGTGAGTAAGCAGTAATGGTAAACTGAGCATTTTAAATCTTCTTGTAACGGGGCACCCTGAAGCTTGTACTGATGACAGTACAAGCTTTATTCTGATGACCGAATAAGGCGGTGCCTCGGAACTTCACGTACACTCGTACGTGCAGAGGAAGACGGTAAGAAGAAGCGAGTACTTAGTTTAAGTAAAAAGTAGAACTGTATTTATCATAGTTAATGTCTGCTAATAAATCAGTATTTATTCTCATCTAACTATGTCTGAATACAAATGTGCATATCAACTATCTGCCCACCACTCATTGCGTGCGTCTGTCGTGGCGCGTCTTCGTTGGTTGATATAATGGCCTATATCAACCAATTAGGAACTACTCGTAAGTGCTGCAGAATATTTGTTCTTATGACAATATTCTGAGAATATAACTCTTATAGTTATATTCTATTAACAATTTCTTAAAAATTGTTATGTAACGATTCACCCCGTTACACTTCTTCTGACGAAATCAGACGTTTTCTGAGCTACTTCTAATAACGAATCAGAATGACCCAGCCGAAAAAAAGTGAACCCAACCGTTTTGCATTTGCCTTTTTTTTAAATCGTGTGTTGCAATATGTATGTCGATGTGTATTGTCATTGTTGTTTGTTTGCTCTAGCTTGTGTACCTTTCGGAATCGTGGTGCATGAAAATCGAGATATCGGCATGAAAATCGAGACATCTGCATGAGGATCGACACCTCGGCGTGAAAAATCGAGAGTTTCGTTGTTGTTGTTGCTTCTGTCAGCTAGAGCTGGATGGCATCAAACACATACGCAGGAACGTGACCATCCAGAATCGTGCGCTTGATCTTGGCGCACCGCGCGAACTCGAGCATGAACATCAGCGTGTTTATCACGTCGACAGGAAGCTCCGTTGGTAAAGCAGACGACTTGCTCGTTTTTTCAGCATTCTCAGCGAAAACATCGTTGACCTTGGTGCGCACGAATTGGCCCAAGTAAGCCAGAAACTTGTCCGTGTACGAAGGATGGAACTGCTTGAAGATGGTGAGGATGCCGACGAGCAATGGTTCGCCGTCAATTGGGTTTTTACCGACACGGCTGAGAGCACCAAAGTTGCGATCGTACTGCAGCTTCGGCATGTAGGCCACTACAAAGAGCATGAACATAGCAGCAAGTCCCTCCATTGGCTCTGTGACGGTCACGTAAATCTTCTGGAACGGATCGTTGGCGCCCGTGTTCTCCAGGTACTTGTTCAGTTCCACAAGTACCGGATTACCTTCGTTGCCAGGGTAAGGCTTGTTCTTCGGATCACGGTAGTGTGCGCGGATGTCGTTCAAAAGTGATATGTTCAACGTATCAAGCGTCGTAGCTAGCAAATTAGCATCGAGACGGCTTGAGAACGAGAGCTCGCTTGAAATCTGTCGCCGGATGAGTGCAGCCTGACCAATAATAAGCACGGCCTTGAGCAGCTTGCTCATAATCTTCTCTACCTTTTTCAGCGCAGCTTCGTATAGCTTCGTCGAGTGCTCAGGCAGCTTCCACTCGGGTGCAAGCGCAGTGGATAGCTGATCTAAGAGCGGCAGGTAAGGTGTCACGGCTGACCCCCAGAACTTGACCAAGTTGTTGAGGGTGTGCACAATACGGAACGAAAGCATACGGTCGAGGCCTGCGAGACCCAGCAGGCCTACGCTCTTGTGAAGAACAGAGAAGGCACCGATACCGCAAACTTCATTGCCGTCTTCTGAAAACCAACCGATAGATTGCGGCGAGTAGACAGTCGTGTGCGGATCGGTCATGATAAAGAGCGCATGCATGAGGCGACCCATGAAATTCACACTCATGTCATCTGATGTCGGCTGGAAGCGTGGAATCGGAATCGCCCGACTCTGGTACTGCGATGCGCGGTCGTATACTTTCTTCTTCAAGTAACGGTTGCACTCCTGCTCGACGTTGTAGTTGATAATACGGGAGAGCTCCTCGTGCCACATCCGCAGACCATAAATGCCAATGTAGTCTTGGATGTACTCAAACGAGAGCCGGTAGGCATCCAGGTTGGAGGCAAGCTTGACGAAAACTTCGTTGCACTCTTTGGACGTATTCTTTTCAAAGTTGAGCACTTCGTGGAAAGCGAGTGAGACTCGATAGACGAGCTCTTTGCGCAAACCGTCCTCAAGCACTTGCCGAGGGTCTACCTCAATGATACCAAGCAAGGTGCGCTTCATGGCCAAAATACCCTCAGTGTACTTCGAAACCTCGTTGGTGGCACGTGCGAGGCGGTAGCGCTCGTTCAGCTGGGCGTGGTTCTTCAGCAACGTGTTCTCAAACTTCACTGGGATCGATTTCATGTGGTCGGTCTGGAGCTTAATAATACCTGCCAATATACGAAACACACTTTGCGGAATGACTTCCATAACGCGCCGCACATAGTCCACGAGCTCAGCCGAATAGTACTCTGCTACCGAGATTACATCCTCAGACCCACACTGGTGTATACGCGTTAGCGGGACGTCCAAGATTGACGCAAACTTCAAGAACATTGCACGCAGCAGAATGACAGACGACGGGTCGTTTTTCACCCGCTGATGCAATATCTTCATGAAATCGTTAATGATCTCCCACGCATACGACAAATCGGACACATTTTCGATAATGCCCATGACCTCATCCCGAATGCGTACGGTCCGCACCATTTCCGTGAGAAACTCGCGGGACTCCTCGAGGTACGCTTTTACTTGTAGATTCGCGTCGATTTGGTCAAACTGCTCAACGTGGCCCAATGCCTCAATCAATCGCTTGATGCGCCGCCCAGCCTTGATGTGATCGATGTAGTCCAGACTGTTGACCTTTTCAGCCAAGTCCTTGAACCACTTCATCAGATCTTCGTTCCGTTCCACGCGAGTGAGCGGCTTCTCGCCAGAGAAATACTCGCTTAGCTCCTCCATGCGTTCGGACGTTTCTTTCATGCAACGCTGCCATCGGTCTTCTTTACTAGCGAGCAGCGCCTCGAACATTTGCTTGAGCTTCCACTCCAGCTGCGAAGCCTTGAGCAACAAAGTGATCAGCTTGTCTGGATCCGTGCCTTTGTCGAAGATATCACGCTGCGCCTTGGAGTCTTTCATCATGGGAATCACCGGTTGAATGCGAGAGTGCATCATCGTCCACCGTATTGTCACGTTAGCATTGCGGATGCAGTTCAACAGTGGATCAAGGTTCTCCAGCACATACATCTCCGTCAGCACGCCTTCAGTGAGGTAGTAGTTGAGTTCATCGATTGATCGCTGCATCTGCTGAGCTTTTTTCTTCGTAATGTGAGCGATATTCGACAGCTCCAGCGTGTTTGCAAGTGCCAAGCGCGCTGCCGGGTAAGCCGCCCATTCCAGTGACAGGTCAGCCACTGCTCCCATGTACGTCGTCAAGATGAAGTTGTCGTTAAAGTGACGATCCACAATTTCACGCATACTCGACTTCTCGTGAATGAGAATGTCCGGAGCGAAGAACAGAATCACGAAAAGCATTGAAGCTTGGCTTGCAAGGCGGGTGGAGCGATGGGTACGGTGTGGGAAGCAGGGCTCTTGCAAATATACATCGTCCGACTGCAGCTTACCGATGACCATACTCACAACTTCCTCCGGCGGGTGGAAACGTCGAAAGTATCGCTCGGGGTATTGAGCCGGCTTTGGCTGATCAGGTAGATATCCCGTCACGCGACACAACTTGCAAACTTCGTCAATGTTTTCCAGTGCAGACTCGCCCTTACTTCGGTAGAAAGCAATGACCATCTTCTCACGCGTCGGGCCAGGGATCTTGCGGTCCAGTAGCAGCAGGATCACTCCGTAGAGATACAACGCCTCGCACATAAGCTGTGCGCCGTCCGTATCCAAAAGGATATTGGCCAGCGTGTGCTGAATGAAAAACCCTTTCTCCAGATTGTCCAGAAACTCCAAGTAGTCACTGATGTACTACACGAACAAAGCGTAGTTAGTCACGTATAAGCTCCCACCTCGCAGCACGAGATGCGCTCCATCGAGCTCAAAGCAGCAAGCAATCACACCTTGTAAATGCCATCAAAGAGCTGGTAAAATCGGTCCAGAATGTCTTCATGGTTGTCCATAAATTCATCATCGACATCCAGCAACTCCTAGATAATTTCAACCCCACGAGAACCGTCAACCGGAATCAGTTCTATGCGTGCTAAAAAAACACAAAAAACCCATTCGGGGGTTGAACCCACCCACCCACCGTATTGCTGTTGACCATGTTCTCAAAATCTTCTGGGTTTTTCAAATACGAAAAATCGAATAGAATCGCCAAGTACTTGAGTTGCTCGGGGTCTTCAACGTGTGAAGGTCCCATAAAGACGCTACATCATCCACATCAACAAAGGAATGAAACAAAACGTCACACCACGTAAGAAAAAATAAATTTCCTGCGTGGGTAGTGCGCGTCACACGGCGGTGTACGCACCCCGGGATGTTGTTCGAAAGACGCAGCAGCTCAGCAATGATGGCACTGCCGCGACTCACGAGACGCAGCAGCGTCTGGCCGCAGTCATTCTCCTCCGCGAGGAACTCCATGGCGCGGTGCGTGACACAGCGCGTTGAAGCGATGCGGCGAGGGGAATGTAGTTTACGCTGTTTTTTTTAATACCGGTAAGTGGAGGTGATATCGGTAATGGTTGTGCCAGCGGTAGTTTGTATGATGTGCATTGGTAGCTCGAGTGGACTTATTCAGCTAACTCGTTAAGAATACGGAGTGGGGTATCGTTTGTTCCTGCTGACTTCTACTTTTTATATAAATTGCTCGGATCTGAGATCGGATATGCATATCGTGATGTTGAAGATCCGAAAGATGGTCATGACCTTCGTATCTTTATGCACTTCGCTCTGCGTAATGAGGCAAGTGCCGAAAATTGGAGATTGAAAACCAGTGATCGAAAACTAAAAGCACGATGATGCGTTTGAACTCGGAAAGGATTCATCATCATTTGTCCGTGCTCGTCGTCCCGGTAGTGTGCATCGTGCGTGTTGTAAGTGCATGATGCACTGGATTCGACTCCAGAGATTCGACCCATGATAGGGTATGTCTAGAATGTTCTTTAGGGTTCTATGCATTATTATAGGTCGTACGGCAGCTAGACGTATGGATAGTTCTCACTTGTAGATTGACAAACCACTGATGAGGCCCCCGGCGGGGGGCCGAAACGCGTCTGGTGCGCGGTAATATACAAGTCATTTACTTTACTTAACTCTTACTTCTTACAGGTTATGAGCCCAAGTGCTCGCTACAGACACCTCACCAAGGACCAACTTGTGCGAGGGACACCCCCGTCAGAGAAGGCGCTCGATGCACGAGTAAGGCGCCGAAGAATTCATCGACAGGGATCGTTGACGGTGCGCGTGCAGTCGAAAAGGGTTTGTGCAAGGGTGGTGACGCGAGATGGTCTGAATGCGCGAGTGCTATCGAAGGAAGAGTCAAGTCAAGTGGTGACAAGTGTATTTGTGGTCAAGAAGAAGTGGAAACTACATCCAAGGCGAACGACGACTACGAGATGTCAAGATGTGACATGGTGCTGGACGATGGGGGAGCTGGAATACCTGGAACGCTCGGTATCATCGAGGTTGGCTGGAGCGCAGGGGCAAGACTCAATCAAGATTCCCATGGTGCACGGATGCAGCAGTGAGGATTACAGGCGGGTCGATACCAAAGTGGTCTGTTATCAGAATAAGTAGCTTGTACTGTCACCAGTACAAGCTTCAGGGTGCCCCGTTACAACTCCAGAGATTCGACCCATGATAGGGTATGTCTAGAATGTTCTTTAGGGTTCTATGCATTATTATAGGTCGTACGGCAGCTAGACGTATGGATAGTTCTCACTTGTAGATTGACAAACCACTGATGAGGCCCCCGGCGGGGGGCCGAAACGCGTCTGGTGCGCGGTAATATACAAGTCATTTACTTTACTTAACTCTTACTTCTTACAGTGCGTGTTCGTAAGCACTCGATCGCAACGGCTACGAGTCTATGAAGATGATGATTATGCGGATCCGGTCATATCGCTATGCTGTGAGCTTATAGAAAAGTAAACTCGCTATGGCTCCTTTCTTTCATCGTGGCAGATCTCTCGTTTCTATAGCGACCTTCATTTGAAGCTGGCTACATCAAAGGGTCATGTAATAGCTGGCCTGACAAAAAGCTCGTAAAAATGAGCCCATCAGCCATGATCTGTGTAAACAGTGGAAGTCGAAATGGGTCTGAGTCTTTAGTACTGCGGCTGCCTGTCCACAAAGGGGCACATTATAGCACCGAAACACTCTCCCGACCATCACAGCATTACAAATACAAGAAAGACACGGCATCACACCGTGGTTGCATCAGTCTGTAATCACAATAGGTCCACTCATCAATTCGATACGTTCGACTCTCTTTCGTTCACCGGATTTTCTTTGCAGTAACAAGCCACTTAAAAAATGACTCCCGCGTCCTCGAGCTGGCCCAGCAATTCGCCGGACCGCTTTAACTCCTGCACATTGTCATTTCCTCCAACGCTCTTGCTCCGGATAAACAGATTCGGCACGGTGGACTGACGCGTCAAGCGGAACAGAAACGCCTGAATAGCCGGGCCATCCTCTCGAGTATCCAGCTCGAACACCAAAGGCTTCGCGCCAAGCTCCGCCAGCGTCTCTTTGGTTTTCTTGCAGTACGGACAGTACGACTTGCTAAAAAGCACCAAAGCGTTCTGATTGATCGCTGTCCACACGGTGTCCTCAGCAAGCGTACCACTCTTCTCCAGCATTGCACGGAGCGTGCCCATTTGTTCCAGCTTCTGCACTTCACGCAGCCCGCCAATGTACTTCCCCTGGATAAACACTAGCGGCAGCGTCGTGCGACCCGTCAGCGCCTCCACCGCCTCCCACTCGAATGGAACGTGGCTCAGCCAGCCGATCTCCTTGACACGCACGGTCGTTCGAAACATATGGAGCATCTTTCGTAGCTCGTTTTTCACGGGGCAGTTCCTCTCTGCAATAATCACCACGCTATGAGGGGTCTCCAGCACGTACGTCAGCTCCTCAAGCCGTAGTCTCGCCTGTTCATTGTCGTTCGTAACACGCTCGACAAACTCGACCTTGTCAAAGCCAATCTGACGGCCAACGTCTTCTCGGATCATGTACCCCGACGGCATTTTCTTGGATATAAACTCAATCGTGTGCCATCCTTCCACAACGCGTCCAAATGCCGTGTAACCAGGCCCGTCCTTGTTTGGCTTGTTCCTCTCCGTATTGTCATGTAGCATAATGGCAAACTCTGTGCTGCCCGAGTTGGACCGGACGCTGCGAGCAATCACCACCATCCGCTCCGTGCTTGGAGCGCTGTACTCCACTGGCAAGTCGTCAATAGGCGACTTCTTGCCAGAGAGATAGCCTCCTCCTTGCAGCACAAACTTGGGCTCGTTGTAGTAAAACCCGGTATCATTCAGGTAATACCCGCTCGCCACGAGCGTCTTGAACGCCTCCACAGTCTTGGGCGCGTCCTCCGGGTACAGCTCAACTGTAAAAGCGCCAAATTTAGTGGAGAATCGCACCATCGTCTTGTTGTAAAAGGGCGTGGACAGCACTGGGCGCATCTCCAGACTCGAAAACTGCCACACGTGCACGCAAATCATAAAGCCAAAGAAGAGGAGCGCGACGTACACGAGAGGCGCGCCAAACCACGAGGATGAGGACGCGGGTGAGCGAGCTCCATGCCGGCTGGCAGGACGGCTGAGGCGTGGAGGCAGACTGTCGTTTCTCCGCTTCTTCTCGACGTCAGTAGGCGGCACTCGGCGTTTGTTCGCTGCGTCCATTGCCGGAGCTGTTGACACGAGAGGAGCGGCTGGTTTTTGGTGGTGCTGTGAACGAAATAGAAATGAAAAGCGCCGACGAGTGCGGTTTGGATTGGATGAAATCGAGCTTGGAGGTGATGCAGGCAATCGCGAGCTCAGCAAAAGTCGCATGGCGTGATTAGAAATGCTTTTTCTTTTCTTACGAGATCGCGAGTTTGGAACATGTAGCACAAAGCAGGGTTTGCTCTGCATTTGGTGATCGATACCTGTATGACGTTTGGAAAGATTTCTAGTGTCGCAAGAGTGTTGTGTTGCAAACGGAGATGTGTGTTTGAAATGCAGCGGTCTGAGCACTTTTGTGACAGTTTGCTGCATTTTAGGCGAAGGCATGCAGTGATCTAGGTAAAATTCGACACGCTTTTTTGTGCTTCGGAAGATGGGCAAAAGTGGAGGTGGAAGGATGGGATATGGGAACTGCTGCAGTCTAGGGCATTGCATTCGCGAAAGAAAGACGAGCAAGTGTGTCCACAAGAGGTGTGTATGCTTCGACTCTAACAGTGTGACATTTTGAGCACAGGTTGCAACTCGCTCAGCCGTTCGACACGTGTCTGAAACAGAGACGATCGTGAAGGTCGAAATTCTAGAGCTTTATCATTTGTTGGTGTCTTGTCAGTAATCCTTCTATAGATTGACCGGCTTCTGTCCCCACCGTCCGTAGCACGTTGTGTGTATCTGTTAATCCCGTCTCTCTAATCGCGTCAACTTCCCGGTGAATTGTTTCGTTCTTGTCTGCGGAAAATTGAGGGGTAGAAACCCATCTTTTTTACAAAGTCTTGATGGGCATCCTCTAAGAACAAGATGTATCACATTGTACGCATGCTAGAGAACGGTTGGATGCCTTCAAGCCATTATTTGTCCTGTCATGCATTTTATTTTACGATTAAGGCTGGGTAGTTTGTAATGATGACAATGCTCACTTGCTATTGTTGATGATGAACGGTGCTCGGGCATCCTGTTGCTAACGCATTGTGGCACACGTACGATCAGAGTCTCATCCCGTTAAGCCCAAGTCGTCTTTTTATAATCTTTATCATCGCACATGACCAAATTCGACACACATTTGTGCCTCATCAGAGTGCGCCCTTGCTGTGCCTGAACTGAAATGTAGTTCATCATATTGCGGGTCTTAGTTGGTCCATTCCTTCTGAAATCACCTGAGTCTGTAGTAGCAAGTGTTTCCTATAGTCGTACAGTATCTCCACTCTCTTCAGGTCAATCTTTTCGATCTTCCGACTCGAGTTCCTTGAGCCTAGACCATTCTCCCAGATCTACCCGGAGCACTTCACCAGTTCTTCTGGACGTACGAAATCTGCCATAGGCTCGTCGAGTGGGAACCTCCTTAAAGCCCGTGATTCCACACGGTGACGTACCTACCATTTGTTTCGATAAGCTCAAGTCATTGCGAGTAGTATTCGTTGCACCTTGCAGACAAATAATATCGAGGTGGACCGTATACGTCTGCCCTTTTGGACTCGAGGAAGAGGCCATGGCTTCCCGTATGCTTTCCACTTTTCGTCAATGTCAAATGCTGTCGTATGAATTGCTTCGGGGTTTACTGATCTCTAGCTCCATTCACCCAGAAAGCTCGAATACCGCCGCTATGGACACAATGACGGTAAAAGCACTGCGACTTTCTCAACATGGCTCACATGCTCACACTGCTGTCGACACGCTCCACTGCATCTTCGTCGAAATTGTGGATCAGACAGCCTCAGTTGGTTGGCGCGCCATGTCTTCAGAAAACGTTTGACACTGGTATTTGCCAAATATATTCGCTGTGTCACGTCCGCCAAAAAGTAGATTTCGAACACCTTCTGCACCTGAACTGCTATATAAGGTATGCCAGCGATATCGTCACTTTGGAAGTCATAGCAGGTGTCATAACATGTAACTCCTGTTAGCTAACTGGATGACCACACGATCGTATCAAACTCGAGCGACTTCGTGACTTTCCAGTTCCTCCGGTACCAAATCAAAGACCATAGAAATCAGCGTTTCAACTACCCTCGAAATATCGCCAATGCAGCTCGCAGCGTTTGTGGACCGCGTGGGTGCAGCCATCGGCGCACGTGACGGGTCTGCGCTCGCCCAGATGATGAATCTGACAAGTGGATGTACATCTGTCGACATGCAGTCGCTATCGGTTCAGTCAGTGGCTCAGACGTGCCAGGATAAACTGGCTCGCTTTGACACGTACGCTGAGGTGGTAGCAGGTATCATGCAGGCGCGCAAGCACGTGGACGCTCAGAGATATGCCGAAGCTTATGATGCTCAGATCGGGGCTGTGATGTACGCAGAACTGTTGCAAATTGTGGACCAGAGGGGACCTTTTTGAGGCAGATTGTTAACGTTATGGGTTGTTTGTTGTTGTATGATGGTACACCGACTGTAGGAAGTTTATGGAAATTTTTCGGGAGGAGACGAATTGGGTCATCCCTTTTGTGCACGTGCTATTTGTAGACACGCGGCTATTGGCTGCGCGGGTAAGTTACAGCACGCGTTAGGTTTAGGGTAAAGTTTTTTGCTGTCAGTTTAACGATGTTGTAATGATGTTTTGTCTTTTTACTAAAGGCGGATTTCCAGGCTTCGGAAAAGGCTGGAAGCGACGTGCATGACAGTCTGCGCAGTGCAGAGCAGCATTTGAAGAAAGGGTTTGCGATGACAGCAAACGACCGAGCTCCGCCCGAGCACAATAAGAAGATGGGCGCTCTTTTCATTGTGAACCAGCTCTTTAAGATCTACTTCAAGCTCAATATGATCCACCTGTGCCGCAACCTCATTCGCGCCGTCGAAGGACCGGCGTTCCCGCCATTTGAGCTTTTCAACAAGAGCGACAAGGTCACGTACCAATATTACGTCGGTCGTATCTCCATGTTTGAAGACCAATACAAGAAAGCGGAGACGTGTCTCGACTATGCGTGGAAACACTGCCATCGCAACAAGACGCGCAACAAGCGCATGATTCTGCAGTTTCTCGTGCCGGTGAAGTTGCTGCTGGGTGTGATGCCCTCACCAAAGCTTCTGTCGGATTTCTCACTGGGAGAGTACACGGGTCTAACGAACGCCATCCGTGGCGGCAACCTGCACCTTTTCACAAACTATGTGAACCAGTATCAAGACAAGTTTATCCACCAGGGCGTGTATCTATTGATCGAGAAACTCCGCCTCTTGGTTTTGCGAAACCTGTTCAAGAAAGTGTACGTCATTGAAGTAGCTAGCCAGCCAGCTCTTCACAGACGTTCGCATTGCCCTCCATCTGCTTTTGTCATACTAACGCGTATATTTGTCCAGTTACCTGATCCAGGAAAGCCACCAACTGCAGATGCAAGACTTCCAGCTGGCGCTGCATGTAGCCACGGGGCACTCGATGGACATGGATGAGATCGAATGTGTGCTGACGAACCTCATCTTCAAAGGCTACATCAAGGGATATATGTCGCACACGAAGAAGATCCTCGTCGTCAGCAAGACGCAGCCGTTTCCTCCGATTGTAAGCGTGGCGAGTTAGGTGACAGTATAGCGCGAGTGCTTCCATTTGGATCGAAACCTGCTCTTGTAATCAAATGAGACAACAGATTATTGCGAGCCCGAAGGTTGAAGCTGTTAGTGAGTGTGCGCAAGGTTGAATACCGACCTTTTAAATCGTACTTAAGTGTCAGTGTGCGTGTCTGTGTCTGTCGATGTGTTCGTAAATAACGCGGTTAGGTGTACCTAGCACGTACCAAGTGCGATCTGGCCTGCCTTCATGATAGGTACATAGGCATATTTAAACTCACTGTTTGGCCAGGTCACTATTGTGACGCACGCACATGATAGGCTTAAAATCAACCAAAAGTGAATATTATCAGGTATCCACGTGGCGTCTTTCCTTAGATCTGAACACATCTCCAACATTGTTACCAGCTGCAAGGTCCACAGTAATCGCACATAAAGTAGTTTTATTCCCTCGTGACGAAAGCCCACACAAGCCATGACATTTCTAAGCCATCCTTTCTAACCTAATACTAGGATCCTCACCTCATGTTCGGCTAAGAGCAGGACCATCTCCCCAATCAAAGAAGGGGGGGGCTCCAGCGAAGATTCGCCTCGAAGAGCTCATTTCCAGAACTTCGTCGTGAGCCTCAAGTCCCTTTGACACAACACGCGCCCTCCGCCTCAAATGACGTCAATCGTGTCTATCAAAGCCCGTCAGATCTTCGACTCGCGCGGCAATCCGACCGTCGAGGTCGACGTTGTCACTCCGCTCGGCTTGTACCGCGCGGCAGTGCCCAGTGGCGCCTCAACAGGGGAGTTCGAGGCGCTGGAGATGCGTGACGGAGGCTCGGCGTACATGGGCAAGGGCGTGCTGAACGCCGTGAAGAACGTGAATGACGTCATTGGTCCCGCTCTTGTGGGCAAAGACGTGACGAAACAGGCCGAGATGGACCGGTTCATGGTCGAGACTTTGGACGGGACGCAGAACGAGTGGGGCTGGTGCAAGAAGAAGCTCGGGGCCAACGCCATCCTCGGCGTCTCGTTGGCACTCTGCCGTGCCGGTGCGGCGGCCAAGAAGCAGCCGCTGTGGCAGTACATTGCTGACTTAGCTGGCAACCCAACGCCGTGCTTGCCCGTGCCGTCGTTCAACATTATTAACGGGGGCTCCCATGCTGGTAATAAGCTGGCTATGCAGGAGTTTATGGTCCTTCCTATTGGGGCGACGAGCTTTACTGAAGCCATGCAAATTGGCTCGGAAATATACCACAACCTGAAGAAGGTGATCAAAGGCCGGTACGGCCTCGATGCTACGGCGGTGGGTGACGAAGGCGGCTTTGCTCCTAACATTCTGTCGAACGGCGAAGCTATTGACCTCATTGAGGAGGCAATCAAGGCTTCGGGGTACACGGACAAGGTCCGTCTTGGCATGGACGTTGCTGCCTCGGAGTTTTACACGGGAGCAGCAGACGCTCGCTATAATTTGGACTTTAAGAACGAGAATGCTGCGGACTCGGAGAAGATCTCGGCCGACAAGCTGCTGGAGGTGTACGAGGGCTTTATTGCCCAGTGTGCCAGGTCGAGCAGCATCGTCTCGATTGAGGACCCGTTCGACCAAGACGACTGGGAGTCGTGGAAGAAGATTACGGCCAAGGTCGGCAAGGACGTACAGATCGTGGGCGACGACTTGACAGTGACGAACCCGACCCGTGTGAAGAAGGCTATTGAACAGAAGGCGTGTAACGCTCTTCTGCTGAAGGTGAACCAGATCGGTACCATCACCGAGTCGATTGAGGCCGTGACGATGGCAAAGAAGGCCGGATGGGGCATCATGGCTAGCCACCGCAGCGGGGAGACGGAGGACACGTTCATTGCGGACCTGGCGGTGGGTCTAAGTGCTGGCCAGATCAAGACGGGCGCTCCGTGCCGTTCGGAGCGTTTGGCGAAGTACAACCAGCTCTTGCGTATTGAGGAGGAGCTGGGAGCCAGTGCTCGCTACGCCGGCGCGGACTTTCGTGACGTGGAGAAGCTCGGTAAGTACTCGACTTTCTAGGCGCTAGCTTTACGCATTGGTCCGATTCGCGATGTTTGCTCTCGGAACTGGAGAAGTTCAAGGGTGACAAGTAAACGAATTCCAGTTACTCGGACGAGCTTTGCTTCGTTAGCAGCAGCCCTTCTTCATTTTGTTGGACTGAGAGTGGGACGCAGAGTAGCTGCAGTTGACAGTTTGTCCGACGGTGAAAGTGAAGGGTGCAGATCCGAGGATGTAATTGCTAGATGGCATGTGCAAACCCCTACACTATAGCTAGCAAAAACTAAAACGATATCGTGAGATCCATCAAGAAGAAAAGACCGAGCACGTATATCCTGATTATCCGCTTAGCATTTGCGTTCTGCTGCGACTTCAGCGTGGTCCCTTTTCTACAGTATTGAATCAGTTCTTGAGTTGACCGACACTAGTAATTTTCACCAATTCCAAATCTTTAACAACATACTTTTGGGAGCTTTCTAATTCAGCTCAGGGTCTTTTTACATACTACGTACTTGAACAGTCAAGTATGACCATCAAATCGAGCATGCTTGGCGAATATGGCCGATCGGTGATGCGCATGCAAGTTCGACAGTCAACGTCTAGCCTCTTTAGAGCTCGCATGTCGACGTTTGCAACAAACGGTTCACAACTGGACAGTTACGCGAAGGGTGCCTCTGTATCAGCTCCAATGTTTGCAGAAGTCATGCACAAGTGTGGAGTACCCAAAAAGAGACTGCATCAAGACCTCTATCCGCTCGAGTTTGGTACGTCCCAATGATTTTTTTCTTATTGTCGAGTATTTATTCGCATGTTTATTTTGAATATTATCTAAATATGTGACGTGTGTGAACAATAACTGCAGGGCAGAGTGCATGGCCTGGCACGTTCCCTATTGCTGCAGCTGTTTCAGGTGGTGCTGATAGTATGGCATTGATGCTTTTACTCCGAGAGTACTTGCAGGAACATCACATCAAGACCCCTCTATTAGCAGTGACAGTGGATCACCAATTGCGGCCTGAAAGCAGCAGAGAAGCGCTTGAAGTGGCAAACGTTTGTGCTGATCGAGGCGGTATTCGTCACATAACAAAAGTGTGTGAATGGCAGTGCGAAGAGAAGACGAAGCAGCAACCAGGAGAAGGACCTACGGCTAGTTTACGACGACCGGTAAAGCCACGCGCCAGTAAGATGGAGGAACACGCACGTCAGTATCGATACCACTTGCTGCGGCAAGTTTGTCTGGAGTATCATGTGCGCTGTTTGTTTGTGGCTCATAATCGTGGCGATCAACTGGAAACGACGCTTTTCCGACTGGGAAGGGCGAGTGGTACCAATGGGTTGGCCGGGATTGCGAGCCAATTGCCACTCTTCTCTGTTGATAGGTTGCTACGTCATCCACTTGGTTGTAAAGCGTCGACATCTAGTACCATGACCACGATCGTTCGACCATTACTTTCCGTGACGAAAGACCAGTTGATGGCAACGTGTGATCGGTTACAGCAAACGTGGGTGCACGATCCTTCCAATGATGACCCCACGTACGACCGTGTTCGGATCCGTCAGGTACGCTTCCATGCTCTGGATGTTTGCAGCTTTTGTGCTGACAAGTTGTTCGACCGTACTCGACGTAGGCGCTCAAGCGAATCGAAAAGGAGGAACAAGGAGCTGCTGTCCTGGACTTGATCGCTCGTTTCCAACAGACTGCCAAGAAAGCCAAGCACGAGTTTGCAGCACTCGGTGCGGATGTAAAGAAGAGGAGCATGAAATTGCTACTGAGCACTGACCATCTTGTTGTCTGTTGCAGAACGCCTCATGCTTCAAAAGCACGCTGTCACCTGGGAGGCAGACATGGTCGTCATGCAAACGTCGATTGTCCACGACCCTGACGTGTTTGACGAGCTGCTGTATCGATTGTTATCAATTGTTATTGTACACATTGGCAAGAAGGACGCGCCTCCACGTTTAGCATCCATTGCTCGTCTTGCACGAGATCTCCGAGATCTGAAAACAGGCAAGCAGCTCACTTTGGGTGGATGTCGGGTACGTGTCTTTCATGTCATTGGCTTTCTAGTCTTTCAGCATCAAGTTTTATCTTTCAGCTTCAAGTCACCGCTATACTAACGGATACAAACGGTACTTCGTAGATTATGTGGAGTAGAAAACGCCGTGAACTGATATTCCAGCCGGAGGGCCAGAAGAAAAAGTAGGTTCGCATGGAATATTTGCCATTGACAGGTATGGTACATTGTACCGGTGCGTTCGGAGCCAATGGATTTGAAGCCATTTCTTGAACATCCACGTCGGGTGTAATGGGGAAGAAGTCCGAGTCGATGGAGGTGGCGCCTGTGCCTGGGTTCTTTGGCCACGTGGTGAAGCCCGGCCATGCTCTGAAATGGCCGAATGAGATCGAGGATTTCTGCATGCAGTTGAACTCAGCAGCACTTGGCGCTCAAGTGACCCAAGGCCGCTCCACACTTTCAGTGGTGGCCAAGACGTCGAAGATTGCGCTGTGCACGCTGACTCCAGAGGTGGCGGAGCAGTGGAACTTGACACAGACTTTTACGCCTATTGACGGGGAGATTGAGTTTGTAGTGGATGGTCCGAACGCCATCCACCTCACAGGTTTCATTGAGGTGAAAGAAGAGGAGGACAGTGGTGACGAGCACGACTTTGACGACATTGGAGATGACGAGGAGGAAGAAGAATTGATGGTGTTTGGCGACGAGTCTTCGAGTGACGTGGATGGTGGCGAAGCGAATGATGAAGACGAGGAGAACCGTTTCGAAGTCATTGAGGAACGTCTTCACAAGGACGAGCACGAGGTGACGAAAAAGTCACCTAATAAGGAGCAGGTCAAGCCGAAGGAGACGACGAAGAAGGAGGCTGTTGCCAAGAAGGCGCTTGATGCTCCAGCTGAGGCTGAACCAACGGCAAAGGCGAACAAGAAGAAAGCAAAGGCTGCCAAGCTGGCGGAGAAGGAGACAAAACTGGCGGAGAAGTTGGCTGAGGCAACTGCTTCGATGCCTAAGAGCAAGAAGCGCGCTGCTCCAGTCGAGTCGGTAGAGGTCCCGAAGAAGTCTAAAGTTTCAACCCGTATGTTCAAGGGCGTCACGATTGAGGATATGTGAGTAGTGGTTCTCCATGTGGATGGTCTGTTGTGAGAGCTGGAAGCTAATGCGTTTTGATGTTTCGTTTGCTTTTTGCAGCACTGTTGGCAAGGGTCAACCCGTGCATCGTGGCCGCAAGGTATCCATTCTCTACCGCGGCCGTCTCACGAACGGCAAGCAGTTTGACGCGGCTCAGAACCGCAAGAAGCCGTTCACGTTCCGTCACGGCATCGGTGATGTGATCAAGGGTATGGACATTGGTATTGAAGGAATGCGTGTTGGTAGCAAGCGTACGATCACTATTCCGTCGCGTCTTGGTTACGGCCGGGAGGGCTCACCGCCTACTATCCCAGGCAACTCGGACCTCATCTTTGAGATTGAGGTCGTGCACGCATAGGCAGTCAGGCAGTCAGTACAGAAGCGTCAAATTTGAGAAAGATGACGTGGATGAATAGAGTATCAAAGGGGCACATCAACCTGGGATGGTCCGTGTCTTTGCTTACATCTGTCGTTTCTGATCGACTGTGTAGACGAAAATGATCCCTAGACGACATTTGAGCACATTTTTGCCCAACTAGGGCAAGAAACAGTATCAAATGGGCACCCGGACACAGCCTCTCTAGACTGCGAACGCCAAGAACAAGTAGATGAGGGGGGACTCATAAAAAGCACGCAGAAAGACGGAACAAGGACACTCTTGTGCTCGGCACAAGAGCTTTCAGCACCAGTAAACAGTTTATTGGCTGCTTCAAGCAGCACGCCGTGACCCCTGCAGAGAGAGAGCACAGGTCGCAGCTGAGCATCTGCGTGACAACGAGAGAGTACAACTCTTCCGTGTCCAAAAGTACGACGCCAAAGGCCACGGGTCGATCGAGCTTCCCCTTCGCAACCTCAAAAAACAGTCATCCCTTGTTCAACGACAGACGGGGGGGTGACGTACACCCTACCGCAACATATTGACAAAGACGAACGCGTCCAGCTTGGCTTGTGCTTGTTGCTGCTTGAACGTCGCCTCCCCATTGACGTCTTCTCTCCGAGTGGCGAGATCGACGAACGGACTCGAAGCCGCGTTCTGCTTGGCGGGCGAGAGGCGAGTGGTGGTCGAGGGCGCCTGCAGGGGGCGCTTGGCTTGGGGCGCGACCATCGAGATGAGGTCTTTCAGCAGGTTGGGCATGACGTAGTTGAGAGATCGGGGAGAGATCAGGAGAGAGATGGAGAGAGAGGGAATGAGAGCGAGGGCTCGAAGGAGGAGACGGGAGTGATGAGTGACGTGGGGGGGGACGAGGTCAGTTGGAGAATGAGGAGCGACTCGAAGGGGTCCAGCAGCGAAACCAGGTGGAGATTGATAACATCCGGAAGGACGAATGGAATCGAACCAAGCAGAAGACGGCGACTGGCAGCTGGTGACTGCTGCTGCTGCTGCTTCCTTCCGTTCACACGACACGCACTGATTCGTCAAAAGACCGTTTCCGGTGATGCAATCAATGCTGTGATTGGTTAAAAGAGGATTAGCAACAGCCACGATTCGCGATCGAGCGGAAATAGCGGCTTTTTTTTGGACAGGTTCGCTCCCTTGGATCGTCCAGTTTTTGTCCATTGAAAATGCGACGTGAATGCGACGATGGGGCGCCCTGTCTGGCAAACGATATTGTACCATGTTTTTGGTGTCTTCGCTCCCGCTTCTTGGGACTATAGAGCGAGCATCCTTGACTTTTGATGTGATCGTTTGTGTCTCTCTGCAGCAATGAAGCCATTCTGGTGGCAATTTTGGTTCAGCTCTAGAACTGGAGCGGCGACTGTGCGCGGGGTTCGTGACCTGCCGCGTGCAATTCCTGGACTTCTGTGGTGACGTTTGCGGTAGAACGCTACTTGATTCCGTTCCTCATGATGCGACCACTAATTAGTTGAAGTCACAACTGCCCATGTACGTAAACGTACTCTCTCACCTGGTTAAGATGGTCTCGAAGTAGGTGATCCGTGACTTCCTTGAACAGCGTCATACTCGTCCGCGTGTAGTATGTGCAAGGAGGCCGTGCATCCGTCTTGGCTTCCAGCGTTCTTCCGTCCAGTGACATGTGAGCTTCTAGCCGCAGGGCTGTCGGGAGTCGAAATTGCTGCTGGCGTCTGTTACAACGCTGCGGCTTGTTACTTCAGAGGCAGTTGCAAGAATCATTTGCGACGGTAATGGAGTTGCGTCACGAGTACATCGCAAACCCAGCACCATCCGAATGCGAACATTGCAAAACCCGCACCGCTTTGGCACGGAATTAATGTGTACCACGCTGTTTCATCCTACCACAACTCTAACCTCCAATATTTCTATCTGCAGTAGCCACTCAGGACGTTTGCCCCCCTTTTATGGCCGCCCACCTTCATCGGAGATCGTCTTTTGCTAAAACCCTGAACTGTGTAGGGAATGTCTTGTGCAGGCCTCTCGCGCGGTCGCTGAGTATGCGCAAGGAGGTTCGGGACGGGGCAAAGCTCAGAAAACGACGGTAAGCCACTAATTTATGGTCTAAGGTGGATTTTAACATTGACAACCGTAACATGTGACTGTGCGGCATTCGTGAATGATTAGATTCAAACCATGCGCTTTTCGATCGAATGTACTGAAGCCAGAGGTACCGCAGTGATGAGATTTTATTGATGTGCATAGCTATCGTCACTGTTCTCACTTTGTATGAATGACGTGTGTGTGAATGAAACAGCAGCGTAACATGACCTTTTCGATATCGTCGCCGACGTATTCAGTATTGTATAATCACTGGAAATGACCAAATACCAGGTTTGTTATCCAGGCTTAGACAACAGCATGCATCGAGCAGCGTTTTGATGTTTAACAGACACAACTTCTGTTGCTCCAATATGTTAACCATCATGTTATTAATGCGATGTCGCTATGAGCTACGAACTGCATCTTTGTTTAGTAAGATGGAAATGGATTCTCGCTTACAGGATTCGTTCGGAAGGATGACGGGCACAGCGGTCGCAGGGTCGTAACAAAATGGCAACATCATCGATGGACCATACACATCACCAGGTAAATTTCTTCGCAGCGACCATTTTGTTGTAACGGAAAATACCATTTCAGCGGCACACGAACCGCGCCTTAGTCGATCGCTGGCCTTTTTCCCGGCCATTTCAACGCAATAACAGTTTTCAGTCCATGTCAATACTATGCTTCGCAACTGCAGCCTCAGATTGATCCGTTGCCCATAGAATAGCGTGGTACACAGTAATCCCGTCACGAGGTGGCACGGGTTATGCGAATGATGCGGGTTTGCAACGGTTGCAGTTGGTTAGGACTGGATTTGCGATTTACTCTTGCGTCACAACGTGGTCGCGTGAATCCACTTGAGGTTCATCATATGGTTGCAGAGAACTGGTCTGATAGACTCAACATTGTCTTTTCTGACATTGAAGATAATGTGCATAGAGTCAATTGACGGTGCTTCAGATGACATAGAGCCGACTCTAACGCTATTGCGTTGCTGCGAATGCGCTTATCAGCTCGTGTCTTCGTTTGAAATTGGCTCACTTCAGCCACATCGTTCCGTAAATGTAGTGCTGCAGTCATTCGATAGCTGAAGTGAGAGGGAACTAGCTCTGGAACATCCACCAATGCAATTCGGCAAAAAAAAAAAAAGGTTAGAAAGTCGGAAAGCGTCAAAAACCGGCGGCAAAGTAACACCAGTACGCGATAAAATCAATGCGTCACAGGCCAGACAGACACCTACTACGCTGCATGCGTCTCACAGCTCTTCCTTTTTGACGGCATTGGCAAGGATCTCACTCATGATATCGTCGTCGTCATCATCCTCTTCAATCGCATCGAGCTGAACGTCTTCACCATCCCATGGCTTGACAGTCTTGATCGCCGGTAGCTCATCAAAGCCCACCGTCGACTCGCGACCTTGCATGACATCCTGCAAAAACTCACTGATAGCTTCTGCAATAAAAGCTCCGCGTTGAACGACGAATCGCTTCCGGTCCAGGTTGATAGCCACCAGTGACGGATATCCGAAGGTTAGCTCAAAACGGTTTTCAAAGTCAACTTGGTCGCCGCCCTGCATCCATCCAAATTTAAACGGTTTGCCAAGTACCAGCTTCACTGCGTCTTCGAGGGTTTTGATAAAGCCATCACGCGCACGCTTACCGCCTTCAGTGATATGCGGGAGGACGCTAATCACGCAGCTCGACCTGCCGTTACAAATATCGGCCACGGCATCCTCCGAGACAAGCTCCTTGATTTGATAACCACCACCCATTGTCTCCAGCGCTGTTAAAGCAAAGTCCGTAATAGCAGAAGCCGTGCGCTCGCCCGTGTAGTCCTGGGCATCCGCAGGACCCATGGCATTGGGTCCAAATACCTTAATCGAAGGAAACCCTTGAATCCCGTACTCAGTTGTCTTCTCTTCGTTCACTGTCGCTTCCAGAGCTCCTAGCTTCACGGATCCCTTCAGATTAGACGCCGCTTGCTCCCACTCTGGAGCCAGAGCTTTGCAGTGGCCACACCATGGCGCATAGAACTCCACGAGCCACACGTCTCCACTGTTCAGCACCATGCCATCAAACGTCGCATCTGTAAGCTGTACCACGCTGCTCTTGCCACTCGCCTTCCTCTTCTTCTTGGCTTCCGACCGAGACTTCCTCTTCTTCTCCTCCGTACCATCGTCCAACCGGGCCTTGACCACTCGACGAGACGCTGTCAGCGCAGCTTCCACAATTCCTTTCGCTGTGCGGTCCCCGTCAAACAAGGTCGGCTTAGTTTTATCCTCGCCAAAGATCATGATGGCAGGATACCCGGTCACAGCAAACTCCTGTACAAAGCCCTCGTTCTCCTGACAGTCAATTGCCGCTACATTCACGACACCTGCAAGCGCTTTGGCCGCTTTCTTGTACTCTGGAGCCAGCTCTTTACAATGGCCGCACCACGGTGCGTAAAACTCCACAAGCCACACACCCGAGTCCTGCTGCACCTGCTCACGAAAGTCCTCGTCGTCCAGTATCTTGACATGGTCCTCTTCCGAGTACAGAGCTCGTACGGGAGTCAGGAGACTCGTCACAGCGATGCACGAGAGCAATCTCATGCCTCTCACGGCTCTCTGGGGGGTACGAGGTAAATGGGAAAATGATCCAATGGTCTTGCGCGAGCTGCTGAGGGCCACGTGAAGCGCAGCGATTTGCTGAAAGTCGGACGGACCAATCAGAGGTGGCAGACGATGAACTTCAATCATAGACAGAGATCCCTTGACAGGCCAAATCATGATTCTGGCTCTCGGTCAGAATGCTATGTTTGACTCTGACATTCTAGGTCTTTCTTAATCAACGCGGTAACGTCGCATGTATTGATGATACCAAAGCCTTACGAATGTCAAGCAGCAACTGTGGTGCATTCATTTCTGACTATAATGACTCTCTCATATCCATGCAGCACTTTGCGGTATGTTAACTCCACGGGTCAAGCACATCAATGGATACGATTGCTTTCCAGCGCAGGTTCACACCTTCTGTAACCCGAAAGAAGCACCAGCACACAAGACAACCAAGCATGCAAACGAGAACGAGGTACATCGTTCAGCTGTACACAAAAACGGAGCTTACTGCTCGTGTCATTGTTACAGGTGCTTCTTCTTATACTTGACAAATCGCAACAAGTTGAGCCGGGTCTCCTTCACGTGGGCCACGAGAGCGCGATCTAACTGCTTCTGTTCTGCTTTCAATTTGGTCTTCATTGCACTGGACGTCCGCTCTAGTGTATTGAGGAACCCAAGCGCCCGGAACGTGTCATCAAACTCCTCGGCGTCGTAAACGTCAAAAATGGCATTCAAGGTCTCAGCGACCACCTCAAGGCTCGAGTCGTCTAGTTGCAATACCAGAGCACGTCCAACAGCTTCCTTTTCAGCTGTACTAGAGCAACGCTTACCCACGCAGCCAATCATACCAATTGCATTGACCCGGGACTCAACAGAGCGTCCGTGAGCAGCGCAGTTCACAATAAGCTGAGCGTCTTCAGCTGTGACAGCTAGTTGGCAGCTTTCAGGTCCACTACGACGCAACATAGATCGCATCGCTGTAGTCACTGCAACCTCGAGGTCGTTCGTTGCGCTACTTTCGAGTGAGAAGGGGGTGGGAGCAGTAGGAACGGACTCAACTTCACGCTTGAGATTTCCATACAAAGCACACAGGTTACTGAAGATCTGGGCCACCATCTCATCACTGAGCACCTTCCACGACACACTCAGCAGAAGATTGTTAACAGCGTTGCACATACGAATACGCATCTTCTCAAAATCATTTCCTGGAAGAGCACAAAACGGCTTAGCTCATGCGGTATGCAGAAGAAAGGAGAGTAGCCCAAGACGTACCGACTGTCCTTGTGGCAAGCTGCGGGATGGACACAAGTCCCTGCAAAATACTCATGCAAAGCGGAAGCACGCGACTTGTTTCAAGAAACTTGAACAAGGGGCTGCTTGTCGCACCAGTTGCTGCGTCCGTGTCCATGTGAGATGCTGCATACTCTTCCATGGCATCATCGTCGTCACTGGCCCATTCCTCTTCATCGTCGTAATCATCTCCAGACGCAGCAAGCTGAGCCACCAATTCAAGTGCCAAAGTAAGTATGTGCACACTATCGCGCCACGCGCGAACCTTCAGCTGCGCAGCCGTAATCTCCTGCTTCTCTTCAGATGTCAACGTATCATCGTCCACATTTTCATCGTCCAGTATGGATTGTTGTGACCGCTCATAGTTCAAAGACACTTGCTGTGCCATCTGCACTACATTTACTGCATCATACGCCAGCGCCGCTTCCAGCACCGGCACAACTCGAGCCACCATATCTTCCACCTGCATCATTGACTGCAAGTTCACAGCAATGCCCACAGCTTCAAGCCGAGTTTGCAGCGACAGTTGATCTGCTGGTGCCTGCACGAGATCACGAATCGTCTGCTGGTACGTTGCATCAGCTCCAATCACCTCGTTCAGCTGTACATTACTCTCAGTAATGAGCAACAGCAGCTTCAGCGTCTCGAGGTGCAGCATCGGGTGTGCACGAGCCAATGCTGCAATCCTGAAAATCGGTGGCAGCAGGTCGCCCTGAGTCAGCTCGTTGATTGCTGCCTGACAGCTCTCGCACAAATTCCCAAGTAGGGCCACTGCTTGTTCCAGGACTTGCACTGCCCGCTGATTGCCACTGCTACACAGTGCCGTGTCCGTAGCGTTCTCAATAATGACTTTTACCAGCGGCGTGACAACGTTCTGCCTTGTCATGACCTCGCAGAGCTCCAAGCCGCCAGTCACACTCATGTTGCGCAGCGCGCCTAGCGCATGCTGACGTACCATGGGCAGCGGGTCCACAACCCGCGGAATGAGTCTCGTCAAAAGGCCCGCGTCCACCATCCGCTGCAATTTGCACCGGCTCTTGGCCTCCGTCTCGTCGCTTTCTAGGTCGCCAAACATCGTGGCGAGCACGACGCAAGTGGCTTCACGCACGGCGCCTTGGACGTCCACGAGGCCCCTGAACAGCTGCGCTTCGTCTGCTGCCACAGTCTGTACATCCATCGTCTCGAGCTCGCTCAATTCTTCGGCGGATGGACCACCTGTGGGCGGCACGCGCTTCTTGTGGCTAATGGATCGGAGCTTCTTGGCTTTGCCCATGACGACGCTCCGAGCAAGAATGGCTACACGATACGATGTCCAGGGATGGCTACACGACTTGATGTCCAGCCAAATCGAGATGAAGTGCGGGTGCAGATTGTGACGAGCATAAAATTCTGGACCAATTTGTGTGGCGAACACGAATTGTTGAATCATATCGTTGACAAAAGGGATCGTCATATTGCAGCTGAAACTCGGGTATGTGTATCATAAAAGATGAAGCACGGAATATCAATGCGAGCTGTAGCCGTATCATAACCGTAGCATGACAAGATCGAATAAACGAAAAAACGATTGTAGCTTGTCAGTGTCGTGCTTAGCAAAGGTTGTGCAAGAAAGTCGTGGGTCTGTATGCCTCGTCAGGCCAGCATCGTTTTCTGCAAAGAAATGGTAGTCCAACTTCCGTGGACAAGGCCATGCACACAGTATGAGTCCATGAGGCAGAAAGTGAGCCAAGCGACGGCTAGCAAGACACCGGAAGTACATGCACTTCGGATGCAAGTCACCAAAACGTGCTGGAAATTTGAATGTGCTATACGGAAGTCTTCTCAGCCCAAATTCAGTCCGCCACTATCCAAGAACGCCTGAACTCCATACCGAAGAACCAAAGTCTCGTTCACTGTCCATATCGACACACGCCGTGCCAACAAAAGATACATTTACGCAGCCATACGTCACCTCCCACCCTGCACTTTGACGCACGAGGGCGCTCGGTCTCTTCTTTCCCGCCCTTTCAATAGCGCACAGCCAGTCAAAGAGAGGCTCAGATTGTAGACCTCTGCTCTTCAAGGATTGGAAGGGGGATAGGATGCCACGCCCTTGCGTCGTATCTCGAGCACTTGCACATCAGTGGATCCTCCTCGGCCAATCTTCATTAATCACCATGCTCCCCGCCCGTGCGCTCTCGTCCTCGTCCCCCTCCTCCTCTTCCCTTCGTCGCTGCCTCTCCAGTGCCACTCGCAATAGTTTCGTCGACCGCCTACGCGATGAACTCACCGAGATCAAAGCAGCTGGCACGTATAAGCACGAGCGTGTGATCGCGTCTGCTCAGGATGCCGAGATCCTGGTCAACGGCAAGGCCGTGCTCAATTTCTGCGCGAACAACTACTTGGGGTTGAGTAACCACCCTCTGGTGGTCCAAGGTGCAGCTTCGACGCTCCAGGACCGAGGCTTTGGGCTCAGCTCCGTACGCTTCATTTGTGGCACACAAGATATTCACAAGCAATTGGAGACAGCCATCTCTGCTTTTCACGGTACAGAAGATACAATCTTGTACCCATCATGCTTTGACGCCAATGCTGGTCTTTTTGAGGCCGTACTGAACAAGGAGGATGCTATCCTGACGGACGAGCTCAACCATGCCAGTATCATTGACGGTATCCGACTTTGCAAGGCTGAGCGCCATCGCTTTAAACACATGGACATGAAGGATCTGGAACAGAAACTCAAGGGCACACAGCACTGTCGGACGCGATTGATTGCTACGGACGGCGTTTTTAGTATGGATGGAGACGTCGCCCCGTTGCAGGAGATTGTCGCGCTCGCTGACAAGTATGATGCCCAGCTCTTTATTGATGAGTGTCATGCTACCGGGTTCTTTGGACCTACGGGACGCGGTAGTGATGAATACTGCGGTGTGTATGGCAAAGTGGACGTGATTAACTCAACGCTTGGGAAGGCTCTCGGTGGCAGCACTGGTGGATATACGACTGGCCGCAAGGAGGTCGTGGACCTGCTGCGTCAGCGCTCGCGCCCATACCTTTTCTCCAACTCACTTGGCCCGTCGGTTGTAGGTGCATCACTGAAGGTTTTTCAGATGCTCACCGATTCGTCCGAGTTTGTGGATAAGATTCGTGCCAACACCCACCACTTTCGCGACCGTATGACTGCTGCGGGCTTCTCACTCAAGGGATCTCGGTAGGATAACAGTGGTTGACGTTTTCTAGTGCTGACTCGGGACGGCGTCATCTTATGGTACTTGTTGTATCGTCCTGTGTGATACAGAGATCACCCGATCGCGCCAGTGATGTTGGGCGATGCTCGTCTTGCGTCTAAATTGGCTGATGACATGCTCAAGCGCGGTATTTATGTCATCGGCTTCAGCTACCCCGTACGATCATTCGCGCTCAGCAAGACCCGACTGTTTACCGTGAACGCACTGTTTTCTGACTGACGCATGCTTGCTATTGTTTGCCCAACCAGGTTGTTCCAAAGGATCAAGCTCGAATCCGTGTGCAGCTCTCTGCAGCTCATAGCATCGAAGACGTTGACAAGGCCGTGGACGCTTTCGTCGAGTGCGGCAAAGCGCGTGGGATCATCAACTAGTGTGAGCGCAGCATCACTCAACTGGAGACGATGGCATACGTAATAGCATCTCGGCAGCGTCAGGTTTTTCTATCCGCGAGTCTTGCGTATTCGTGTCGTTAACAAGTGTCGAAAGTATGGTACCATTACGTGTGTTGATCCTGCCAGGACGTGGCCGACAGTAGGCGTACGATGAAGAACAAATTCAGCAAGTGACATTGAGAGCGGGAAGATGCTTGAGCCGGAATAGTTATCGCTCCTTTCCAACGCAAACCTGGTTTCCTCATTCACGAGTCTTCTAGTTCCCTCATGTCCGTCATACGTGGAACTATCGACTCGTCGGTGTTCACCAAAAGCATTTCGGCGGGCACATCCAACATCAAGTATCGACCTGTACGAACTCACGGCAAAGTTGCAGTCCATTTCATGCCAACGCAACCCAATTAAGTGGCATGCCTCCACGATCTTTGCTCGAAAAAACATTTATAAGCACTTACCACTGTATCAACGGCGCACAGTTGAAGGGATATCATGACTTCTGAGACTGTGCAGTAGTGGCCTGCTGTTTCTTGCAAATAAGCTGCAACGATGCGATAGGAGGTCGAGAAATTAGCTGCCAATTCTTGGCCAGTTGCTGCTTGTGTGTGGAAAGGGAGTTCAGACAAAAGTCACCGGTTTAGACCAGGGCGCTCGCCGTCGCTATCTCAAACTTGACCCAAGAGCTGCGATGGACATCCTTCTGAAACGTCAACTTCCTAGTTGTTGAGATTCCAATCATCGTCCTCTGCACACGCAAACACCAACAGGCTGTCAAACAGGACGCAATTGCAATCTTCCAACAACAACAACGCAGCCGTCGACCAACCGCTTACCCTAGTTGCAGCTGCATAACATGCACAAAGACAATCTCACCCCTTTTATTCGCCATCCGTCCGTCGCTTCAACATTCTCATTATCTTCCTACCTGCTGAGTGCAGCCATATCAATAGCACCAGACAAGGTCCAGTATCTCTTCCAATTCCCGCAGACATCCCACTCCTTTTTCCGTCCCATTTCTATCTATTGCCGCAATTCATGATGTTTCTCGAGTGCGTAGACACTCTTCGAACCTCGAGGGAAAATCTCGGCGTACTTTTGAACCAAAGCTGCTTGTGTTTCACTTAAGTACGACCGTTGCATTCTCGTCACACGTCGCACATCACCGCACGGCATCTGAATGGCTACGAGGATCGTATCGTCTGGCACGCACTCACCTGAAGCCACGACGACGCCGCTGCCAATGAGGCAATTACTGCCAATGACAGAGCCGTCTCGAGCCTCAGATTTGGGCTCGAACCAATTGTTGTGTCCCACGCGTCGGCTGTGCACTACACAGCCGCTCTCAAACAAGTTGCCACTGCCGATGAGCATCTCCGACGGCGCGTTATTCATCAGCACAGCGCCGTCTTCCACGAAGCAGCGCTCGCCCAGGACGATCGAGCCTTCGTTAGCACATACAGTGGCGCCTGGGTGCAACGCGCTCTGTTCTCCGACCGTCACGGCGCCTTCAAGTTGCGCCCCGATACAGACGGCGGCCGAGGACGCGATATGTTGTGCCATATTTTAAATTTGTGTATTTAGGACTGGATTAGACCAAAAATTGATCCCTGTTTTTACAAAAGACAAAAAGCGTGTATCTATCTAATTGTGAATTTATTTTTTTCTCGTCGGGTTACGTTTCGACTTTTTTTTAGCAGGGCTAAGTTTGGGCTCCCTCTGCTTAGTTTGGATTGCATCCTTAGTTTGGGCTCCTGCTTAGTTTGGGCCCCCTCTGCTAAATTTGGGTCCAATCGCTTTTTCAGAGGGTCATGTCGAGAGCACGCGTCCTTGATGGCAAGAGGATCTCCAAGGCCCTGCGTGCAGCGCTCACAAGCGACGTGGCCGCACTCACCGCTGTACATAAACGGGTAGGCGCTGTCTTGCTTTGTGTAACTGCGCCCGTCTCTGGTTACTGCGATGACGTCTCGGTTGCCTGCTCTCTCTCTCTTTCGTTGCGTCTGCAGGCGCCAGCACTTGGACTCATTATGGTCGGCGACCGCAAAGACTCGGCTTTGTATGTTCGCCACAAGCACGCTGCCTGCCGTTGTGCAGGAATCCGCTCGGAGAACTTTTTCTTTGACGAGTGCGTGTCTCAGGTGGGAGCAGACGGGACAAGTGAGAGAGTTTGGAGAGAGACAGGATTGGTCCGACGATACTTACTCTTGGTGCACAGGATACTATTGTGCAGAAAGTGGAGGAGCTGAACCAAGACCCAACGATTGACGGCATTCTCGTGCAGTTGCCTCTGCCTGGGACGAAGCTGAACGCACAGCAGATTATTGACCGCATCCGATATGACAAGGACGTGGATGGTCTTCATCCCTTTAACGCTGGTGAGCTTGCCATGCGTGGACGGTGTTCCTACTTGATCCCATGCACAGCAAAAGGGATATTGGCACTGCTGGATGACCAGGACATACCGTTGCGTGGCAAGACAGCAGTGGTCATTGGGCGCAGTAACTTGGTGGGCAGTCCCGTCAGCATGTTGCTACAGAAGCGTAATGCCACGACGATCCTGTGTCATTCAAAGACGATAGATCTTCCGTGGTATGTACGTCAAGCAGATGTGGTAGTAGCGGCATGTGGACAGCCGTATCTTGTGCGAGGTGAATGGCTGAAGCCTGGTGCGACGGTCATTGATGTCGGTATTAACTTTGTTCGTGATGCGGGCGGCACGTACCATGGAGAGGCAAACGCTGACGGTTTCAAGCTCGTCGGTGACGTCAACTTTCCTGAGGCGTGTAAAGTGGCAGGTGTCGTTACACCTGTACCTGGTGGAGTAGGACCTATGACTATCGCGATGCTGCTGCACAACGTCGTTGAGTCGTTTAAGCGCAGAATGGACAGTGGAAACACGGCTGCGCTGTGAAAAGCAGCAGGATAAGCCCATGATGCGTGCGTGGTTGTGTACGATTATGGCTGACCTTGTGTGGGGCTTGCTAGCGTGGGGCTGGCTGTGCCTCAAGCGATACTATCATCCGACTCTCACCAGCAATCGCTGACTGTTTCCTTTTTCATCGTCTGGTTGGGCCATGGTAGCACCATTACGATCAAGAACTGGGCGACGAATTGTGTGGTGACTCTTACGGATCGCAGGCGCAAAGGCTTTCTAGGTACCACTGAGCTTCATGCGCACGATTTCCGCTATTGTGTCGAAAAGATTTGCTGTTTGAGTTGGCAGCGGTGATCGCTATCATTACACTCCGGATTGACGAGCAGCTGTTGTAGTGTGTTCCGTCACGATGCTTCCAGTGAGCTCGCAGCACAGGTATGACGATGGTAGCTATGCAGTGGAAGTGTTGGGTTTCGTTCGCATTCAAGGCGTTCGCCAACGTGAAGCAATAGGAAAGCATGTGGAGGTCAAGCTTATGTGCTGGAAGATTTCTGAGTTCAGCTCCTGCTACCGCAGCAGGAAACCGGGCGGGAGATATACAAGCCGGGCGAATCCACACATCTTCAGCAGCTTCATTGAGATGATCGAATGAGCAGTTGTCGTACCGTGCCGATCAATTTAGGAATCGTTTTTCAGCTGCATTGGGTTTGTTACCTTACATGCAGTGGTAAAGGAAGCAGCAGCCATCGCATCACATGCGGGGTTTACGAGAGACTAGTCGATGTGATCAGAGGCAGGAATTGTGCGATGGAACGATAGATATGACCGAAACTGAAAAGCATTGCACACACACTAAAGTCAGACCTGATGCTTTTCAACCGAATGTAGTAGAGCGGCCGAACTAGAATCTGACCCGAATTGGTGAAGCGATATCGGCACCACTAGATTTTCAAGGTTGTCCTTAACTCCACAGGTTCGAGACCGCAGTCTATCTGAGGGATGGAATATCATACAGCGTTTGGTATCATCACATGTAGCCGCTGTCTAAATTTACTCGTTTCAGATTCATGTCGGCAGCTTGTTAACGAGAAACCGCAGATGCAGCCAGTGGCCGCATTTCAAAAATCCCTACTTGCGTGTTTAGGTGATTCATAAGCTCTGATCACCGCTGCGTACCGAGTTGGATCAAAAATCGGCTGAGGCATTCACTGCACATCATACAGTATTAAAATTCTGATTATGTCCGTGCATGTCATACTGCGCGCATCGCGTCGAAGCCAAGGAAAATGCAAGCCAACGTATACGTGAGGGTATTCATGCAAGTTGCTCGTTAGTGAAAGTAAAACGACGTGCCAAGAAGTCCTGCCGCAGCGTCCGTTCTTGGTTGTTGTTGCCGGGTCTTTCCGATCATAGTAATAGTGCTCGAACAGGAGACATCGGTATCACCACCATACAGCACAAAGTCTGTTCTCGTCCAGCAAGGGTCTCACAAAAAGCTGTCAGACAGCACAGATAGAATGGACCGAACACCACCACCACCCTACTAACTAGTGCAACCTTATTGCTTTAGCTGACATGAACTGTGATGAAGAGCAACATGTGGAGCTGGCAACCTTGTGTAGTGATGAGCTTGACGAAACCCCCAGCACTTTCCTTGAGTCCTGTATTTCTCATAGCTCCGGCAATGGGAAATCATGTCCAGCACCCACCTTTAGCTCGGCGTGTCTCCCATCATAGAATGACGGAGCTAGTAGTGATAAGGTCGGACATTGAACAATGCATACATCGCAGATGCGAGACTTAAAGCTCGACGTTGTGGTTTCGATGGTTGCTACTTGCTATTGCAATAAATACCGCCTTTTTCTAAACAATTGGATAAGCGTCACTTAAGGTGGTTTCGAAGCCAAACATCGTTGTGTATCTCGTTCCGAACATGGCCGAATTAAAGAATAATGCGGATGTCCGAGACACCTTCTTGTTGTTGACTTAGTTCTACTCTAGTCGGATTGCAAACCCCGCAATTCCACTTATATGTTGCAGATTCTCGAATAATCTACATGCGCAATCCTACGTATCTACGGTGTACACATCGCACGACGCCATCACTCTCCGCGCCAATTGTAGTACACCCGATCGCAGACTCTGCCCTCCTGATACTGTCGAGTCCTAGCAGTGATCCCCCCCCAGTGAAATCTGAAGCTTGTTACGTACCTTTCATGTACTCGTGATATAAGTTGAACTCAGGAAACACCGGAGATACATACTTGTATGCAAAACGGAGAGTGCTTTTTGCTTGCTATAGACTAGAAAACTCCAATTCTACGTGGTAGAATAACAACTTTCGACCCGCAAACTCATTGCATAACGGTGCAAATTTCAGAGATAAATTACATCTGTTCGCCGTAGACTTGACACTTCATACATCCGATACACAATCGTGCTGATTCATCATCTTGCAGCTTGCATCCGAACACTCCTCTTCGTTAATTGCATTAGTGGTAGCGGACCATATGGCGCGGTCGCTTAGCCTTGACGCAACGAGTATCTTCTTCATGATTTCTGCTAGTATACGGACTGATTCATGATTTTCAGGCTGTACGACGCATGCAAATCACGAAACAATACGTATGCTAGCATAATCTACGCTTATTTTACATCTCCAACAACATTGATGCCTGCGTCAGTTTCCTTAGCCCCGACTGGTCCATCAAAACTGCCCACGAGCCGCTTGGTCATCCCGTCGCAATGACATCTTCTCGTCGAACTTGCGCTTTGACTTTTCGCAATGGCCTAAGAATACCAAATTTCTTTATCTAATATCAACAAAGCTGTAGATCTAGCTTCTGTTGCTCCAAAAAAAGTGATGCCACAACGTCATGTCTCACCCCCTCACATGTTATCAACAACAGTTGATCGCCCTGCTCACTTTCCAGTCGCTCTTATCTACTACGAAATACGCGTCACGGGATGGACCACTTGCAACGTTTATGAAGTCTGTTGATTTCCATAAGTCTGGAGACATCAGGCTCAGTTATTAGCAGGTATCTGAAAAACGTGTTGCCAATTGTAATCATCAAATTGCATGTTGGCGGGTTCGTCGTCAAGTCTTCTGGTCCGCGAACTCTGTACGTAGGCGAGGGAAGTGAAGATTTACGTACGGGAGACAAAGGCGTCGCATCAGGTGCGGATGAGCTCAGACTACGACACCTTATGAAAGTGTGACTAGGCTGAATGTAGCCCCTAGACAATGCCAAAAATAAACTGTCGTGCATGTCCACATACGTCAATCTTGAGTACGTGCACGTACACACCTTATCGGGCATGTACGTTCAATACTCTGGTAGGGTAATTTCTCCTTGGTTTTTATTGATATTGTTGGTTTTAAGTACAGTTGGTTCATTTGGTACTTCTAACGTCCGTCGCCTGCCCTATTCGACAGGGGCCTACACATTTCCTACCGAAAAACCACCATTACTGCATTATCTGGGATCAGCCAGTCGTACGCCCTCCCCCCGACTATTCGATGGCGGACGTTTATGCTTCTTCGAGAGATCAATTTCAGTGAAACCGGATTTCCTGGTGTTTACATTGACACTTACGCGTCACACATTTTTAACAACCTTGTGTTGATTGATAGTCGGTTCGATCAATCAATCGGAACGGCGGTGCATAATTAAGGCTTCAGGAAGGATCACATTCTCAATTTATTGCAAAGTGCCAACCAAGCACACCCATAAAAGGACAATTCCTTGTAGACGTGTCCACGATCCAGAACTTCTTTTCATCATCTGATATGATTTCGTTATACGTGGCTTTGGTTATGCTGCGTCGTCGCTGACGCTCAGGTCAGACAAGCGAGACTAAGCTAACTTGATCATTTCTCGAAGCTCCTGTCGTCGTGGCGCCGGTAGAGGCTTCATCAGATATTCTTGCTTGGCAATCCACTGCCATGGTCATTTGGCAGCACCACCGCGAGTACAACCAAATCAATGATCTGGCCCAATCCCAGAATCATCTTTGTTCCCGTGGCTGCCGCGAAAAATTCGGCTCCGTCCATGTATCGGGCGACCGACCTGTCTCCTCGTCTTCCAGCCTAACAGCATGTCATTCATCTTGCCATAATTGGCTACCGAGTTATGCGTACACAGACGCCGACATGCTCTGCAATTTTACGATATCCGCTCTTGGAAAACGTGGTCATTACATACTACTGATTCAACCGGAGTTGGAGATGCGGCGTACCATCCAAATACCACAGCGTTTGTCGTGATAGTTTAAAGTCATTGCTTTAGCGCATGTGATCTGCGTAACACGATGCATCACGTGGACTACGACAGACCGCGTGCATATGATCTGCGTAACACTATGCCTCGCGTGGTTTACGCCGGACCGCGTGCATGTGACAATCCGCAAAAAGCCCTCAACTGTTAATTGATAGAGATTGACGTTCTTAAGCTCAGGGATACAACCATCTCCTTCGTTTGGTAATGGCGTCTCCTTGTCCTACTTGCTCACTACTTCGGCTCCGATCTGATAAAACGGGTGCCTTACGCTTCTGCTGATGATAGTGCAGAGATGTGCATCGAACTCCCAAGTATGAAGGTGCAGGGGAAGAGGTATCAACAAACGCATACGGCAAGTTGAAAAAAGGAAAACTCTTCACCAGGTTGGTCAAACATAGGCTGTTGCGTTTTGAAGTCGGCGAGATTTGAGGAAAATATTCAGTCATACCTGACGACAAATAAGCTGCGCTGAAGTACCAGGTAATTTTGCACAAAAACAGTACGGCCGATTAGCACGCATCCGGTAGCTATCACGTGTATCTTCGACATCTACTACATATTTCAGACCACTATTACTCATAACACGTTCATCACACAGCTAAATTCTCCCACCCAACATCCAAACACATTCAGCTACGCCACGCCCGCTCGTTCTGCAACGAGTGAGATTGGAATGAACATCGACTTGCAGGATTATCGGTGCAGCTTGAGCTGGCTAGAAGCTTCATCACCTTAAACAGTCTGCACGGAATA